AATTTTTTTTACGTAATTCATGGAAGGTAATCATTTAAAAATCAATCTAAATGAAATCGAAGTAAATAAATTAGGAATAGGGATAGTTAATAGAATTAAATAAATTTAGATAAAAAAAAAATCATATAAATGGTAACTATATTATTTATTTAAATCATAGACCATTTAATTTTTAATTATTTAATTTTATTAAAGCTTAATATTTGTGTATTTAGTTTTGATTTGAAATAAAATGTTATATTTAAATTTTATTATAAATAATATTTTGATGATATATTTCATGTAAAAAAATATAAATTATACGAAATACATATTTTTTTTAAAAAAATTTGAAATAAATAAACAACACGCCCTAAGATTTGACTAAATTGGATAACTAAAGCCGAAAAGTAATTATTTAAAATTTAATTTGAACTTTACTAAAGATCATTTAATGGAGATTTTCTATACATATATAAATTTAATTAATACTACATCAGTCTTTTAACTAAATATTTATTTATCGAATTTTGAATATTAATATTATATTCATACGTAGTACAAATTAAAATATAAAAATAAAAATACCTATATTAATATTATATAATACTAATGCAACAACATTTATATAAAATATTATTCAAATGTAAGATATTTTTAGTGTAACTAAGCAAAAAAACAAATTAATAATTTGTTAAACAACATAGAAGATTTACCTTAGAAAGAAACATATGATTATATAATTAATAGAATTAAATGAAATAAAAATGAATCATAATAAACAATACCTATAATTTCTCATTAATATTAAAATGTACTATTAATAAATTCCACATTTCATTCATTTTATTAATTACTTCCAAATATTATAACACAAAAAAAAATCCTATAAATAGTTCCATGGATACATAATCATTTGTACCAAATCACGAGCCATGGAGAGGTCAAAAAATGTTCGAGTAATTGTTGTATTGACAATTTTGTTACTGATATTCAGTGGTCAAGCAACCGCAATATCAAAAGGATTTAAAAAATGTTTCGCCACTTGTGCTTTTCCGGCTTGTTTATTTGTCCCATTTCAAGCAGTGTGCATGGCAGTGTGCGCGTTACGTTGCAAATTTGTCGGTGTTATGATGATGAAAAATCAAATGTGCAAATCTTGTGTAGAGAGAAATTGCATGAATGTATTTTCTCAACGTAAGTTTTTTAATTAAATAATTTATATAAATTAATATAGTATTTTTTTCCTCGATTGTTTTATATAGTTTGATATATATATATAATTACGTTTTGTGTATTTTGCAGCTATCACTGAAAAATACGTCGATAAAGTTGAAGCATGTGTTGATAGTTGTGATCAAACTGAAGAATGTCTTCGCCTCAATGAAGAAATCAAAGTTTAGAAGAATTTTTTATGAATTAGGGTTACAAAATTTCAATAAATTCGAAACTTTTTAGGTTAAATTTGTAACCTAATTTGTATTTCGAAAAGCAAACATTATTAGATTGATCTTTGGATTGTCTCTCGTGTTTTCAATACATAAATTTCTTCATTGATTGCATCAACCTATTATTTGCCTTAATTAAACATAGGGCGTGTTCATCTAATAATATTTTTTAGTAATACTAATTTTTATAAAATATTAGTAAAAGATATATATGATTTATTTATATGTTTACACAATAAATATAATATATTCTATCAACTTACAAAAATAAATAAAATTAATATAATAAATATAATTTTTATAATATTAATATAATTTTCTGTACCTAATATGTAAAAAAAAAAAAAAACACATCATTTAAAAAATACAAAATGAACCTACACACTTATAGTTAATTGAGTCTCACAGTTGTGTGTTTGTTCGAAGGACTTTGGAGGATTTGTACTATTTATACAAAAAAAATTTAAAAAAAATATTAAATTAAATATCTATTTTTTATTTTTTATATTATACTTCCTTCGTTATCAAGCTACAAAGTACATTATATTTTTATTTTGGGATGTCCAATTACAAAGTAACAATTTCATTAAATACTCCATTTTTTTCCATAAATACCCTTACTTTACATCACGTTATTATTTTTATAATAAAAAATAATGGCAAAAATGTCATTACACTATTTTTACTTACCCATTTTAATTAAAATACTACTATTTTTTAAATTCTGCGCCAAAAGTAAATGTATACTTATTGTTTGGACATAGGGAGTATTAATAATTAATTTCATATTTAAAAATCACATTAATATTTGTTTAATTTGTGTTTATGTTTGAATTTGAGTTTTTTTTTTAAAAAAAAAAAAGGAAAATAATAATAAATTAATATAATATTTTGATATAATATATAGTATAATTGAATATTATTTTAAAAAAACGATAATTGCGTTTCAAATAAAAAACATTCACTATTTAGATTTAGGTTGTATGATTTTTAGTTCTATCCTTTTAAAAAAAAAAAATTATATCCCTTCTATTGGTGGTGTGTATAAATTTTTATTTTCATTTTTGAATTATACAAGTTATAAATATAGATTTTTCATTTTTTTTCCAGGTCTTCAAATAAAAAAAAAATTAAGTTGAAATGTTACAAAACCTTTTCTTAGGCCTTCTATTGGTGTTGCAGCTTCATATTTGGAGATGTGCATCTCCAAGGCAACTCTATTCCCATCCTCATTCATTTATGGTGTTTATTTTATTTTATTTTTTTAATTTTTACAAATTGTTAATTGGTCCTATAAGAATCAATCTGTAAATTTTTATATTTTAATTATGTATATTTGTAATTTTTTAATATAAAAAGTTATTTAAAATAATATATAAAATAGAATATTTAGATAATATTCTTTTTGGATTGAAAATAGAGTTATGGATTGGAGTTAAATTACTGTAACAACTGTATTATTTTTAAAGTTATAACTGCCTAAATAGAGTTGTCCGGTTAGAAATGGTCTTGCAGCAATAATTTTGGTTTTCATTTTTTTATTTTTTTTAATAATAATAAAACAAAAATCATCACTGTTCACTCTTACCTATTTTTTAATAGAAATGTATTAATTGTCCTAACAAAATATCATATTAAAAAAAGTTTAAACTAAAACTCAAATTTTAAATAAAAAACAAATAAACAATATCTTTATTATTTTAAGCTCAGATATGCTCTTCTCAAGCCACCATGGAAACAGATTAATTATAAAAAAAATAAATAAATGTATTTTAATTAAATATAGGATTTATTTAGTTATAAGATTTTAATTTTAATAGTATTTTGATACTTTATTTTGTTAGAAAATATTATGTATTTTATATATCTCAATACAATAATTTTATATATCATTTTTGTTTGTTTACAAACAATATTCTTATTTATATAAATACTTATATCACAATAAAGCTACTCTTATTTTTTATATTATTACATAAATATATTATTACATAAATGTCACTGTTTTTTATACTAATACATCCATGAGGGCAAAAAAAATTTTAATTATATTTTTTACTAACTATCAATATAATATTATTATTTTTGAAATCTCGTATCCAACACAAATATGATTGTAGTTTTAAAACCGAATTTTTTTAGGATTTAAGACTGTTTAAATTATATATGATATTACCCTGAAAAGAAAGGTTGGAAAAATTTATTATTTAAAATTTAACTTAAATTTTGCTAAGCATCATTTAATGGAGAATTTTTATACATATATAAATTATAATTAATACTACATTAGAAAGGAATATATGATTATATAATTAATAGAATTAAAAGGAATCAATATAAATCATAATAAACAATCCCTATAATTTCTCATTGATTTTAAAGTGTATTCATAAATTCCATATTTAGTTCATTTCATTAATTATTTGCAAATATTACAACACAAAAAATCTTATAAATAGTTCTATTGATACATAACCATTTGTACCAAATCACGAGCTATGGAGAAGTCAAAAAATGTTCGAGTGCTCGTTGCATTGACAGTTTTGTTACTAGTATTCAGTGGTCAAGCAACAGCAAAATCAAAGAGATTTAAAAAATGTTTTCTGAGATGTGCTTTTCCCGCTTGTTTATTTGTCCCGCTTCAGGCTGTGTGCATGGGAGTGTGTGCATTACGTTGTAAATTTGTCGGCGTTATGACGATGGAAAATCAAAAGTGCAAATCTTGTGTCGAGAGAAATTGCATGAACGTATTTTCTCAATGTAAGTTTTTTTTTTTAAAATTAAATAATTTATATAAATTTATAGAGTATTTTTCTTCGATCCTTTTATATAGTCTGATATATATATTTAATTATTTTTTGTGTATTTTGCAGATATCACTGAACAAGATGTCGATAAGGTAGAAGCATGTGTTGATAGTTGTGATTACACCGATGAATGCCTTCGGGTCAATGAAGAAATAAAAGTTTAGGAGAATTTTCGATGAAATAGGGTTGCAAATTTACAATAATTTCGAAACTTCGTAGGTTAACTTTGTAACCTATTTTATATATCAAAAAATTGAACATTATTAGATCGATATTTGGTGTGTCTATCGTGTTTTCAATATGTTAATTTTCTCTTTTATTGCAATAACCTATTATTGTCTTAATTAAATATAAAATGTGTTCATTCAACCATTTTTTATAAAATATTAGTAAACATTATATATAATTTATATACAAAGGTACATAATACATATAATATATTCTATTTACTTAAAAAAAATATATTAATATAATATATTATCTTTTTTACCATCAATATATGAAACACACCATTTTAAAAAATACAAAATGAACCTATACGTCCATAGTTAATTGAAGTTTCACAGTTGATAATAAATATTATAAATATATTATTTTTTATACTATTAATATGTGTTTTTTTAAAATAGTTTTTTGATATGTTTTATAAAAACAAGTGAAAGACCCAATAAATAAATACGTGGGCCGAAATGAGTGATAATGGGCCTAATCAATAAAAAACGTATATTACCATAAAAAGAAAGGTTGAGAAAAATGGTGGATTAGGTTTCCATATTTAGTTGGTTTGGGGAAGAAGTGTAGAACAGACTACGCGAACTCAAGCGTCAATGCTCGCTTTCGTCTCCGTGCATATAAAAAGGCCTCAGGTTTGGCGATAATTGACTCACGTGGTGGATATAAGTGGGGAAAAGTGAAAGCGGGGGAACTTCCCCAAATCGAGAATTCGTCGCATAAATCTAGGGTTTTCGAGATCCCCTCCCGATCGCGTCGCAAAACCCTAGCTCGGCCTTCAATCGTGGCGTTTTATCTTGGTTATTGATATGGCGGAGGAAGAAATCGAGTACGAGAGCGATCCGGAGGAGGCGAAGTTGTCGCTGAAGGCGCGGAGGAGAGTGGCGAGCGACGACGAGGATGAGGGGGAGGAGGGACGGCGGAGGCCGCCGCGGCGGGTGGACGAATCGGACGGGGAGTCGGAAGGCGGTCCGGCGGAGTACGAGGAGGAGTTTGGGGGAGCGGAGGGAGAGTATGATTTGAACGAGGAGGATTTGGATGAGGAAGCGGAGGAAGTCGGGGAGGAGTTGGAGGTTGTGGGGGTGAGAAGAGTGGCGGAGGAGGTTGTTGCCGGCGGTGTGGTGGCGGAGGAGAGGGAAGGTTTGAATAATGATGGCGATGTAATTGATGATGGGGACTATAATGTCGCAGATGCAGGGAGGAAGGAGATGGAGCCGTACGCCGTGCCGACGGCGGGGGCGTTTTATATGCACGACGACAGGTTTCGGGACAATGCAGGCGGTCGGAATAGGTATATATGAAGTTGATCTTCTTTAGCAGGACATTGGCTGTGCATATGTTATATACAAATATGTATATATATGTATATGTGTAATGTGTTTTGATGAGAACCTTTGTTGTAGAACTGTTATTTGAGAGTGTTTGGAATGAGGGAGAAGTTAATGGAGGATGGTTTAATTGTCTAGAAATGTTGGGTAGCATTATGTATTGAGTTTCTAGACTTCAATGAAAGTCGGGGTAGGTAAAAAATAAAGTGGGATTTTATGTGAAATTTATCCGAAGGTTAATAAAAAGTAGCTTGGTTAGTAGAAAAAAGCGTGACGAATTCGTTATAATTTGTTAAAGTAGGGGTAATGAAATTGTGAGTGAATAATTAGTGTTATGTATTGAGTTTCTAGACATCGAATTAAAGTGGGATAGGTAAAAAGTAAAGTGGGATTTTATGTGAAATTTATTAAAGGTTAATAAAAAGTAGTGTGATAAGTAGAAAAAAGAGCGACAAATTTGTTGTAATTTGTTAAAGTAGGAGTAATGAAATTGTGAGTGAATAATTTGCATTATGTATTGAGTTTCTAGACTTCAAATAGAAGTGTTGTAGGTAAAAAGTAAAATAGGGTTTTGTGTTAAATTTATTAAAAGGTTAATAAAAAACAGTGTGTTTAAGTAAAAAAAAAAAAAAATCGTTATAATTTGTTAAAGTAAGGGTAATAAAATTGTGACTGAATAATTAGCATTATGTATTGAGTTTCTAGACATCGGATAAAAGTGAGTAGGTAAAGAGTAAAGTGGAATTGTATATGAAATGTTAATAAGAAGTAGTGTGGTAAGTAGAAAAAAGAGTGACAAATTTTGTTATAATTTGTTAAAGTAGAGATAATAAAATTGTGAGTGAAAAATTAGCATTATGTATTGAGTTTCTAGATATCGAATAAAAATTGGGTAGATAATAAGAACAATGGGATTTTATGTGAAATTTATTAAAAGGTTAATAAAAAGTAGTGTGGCAAGTAGCAACATTATTATTTGTTAAAGTAGGGGTAATAAAAATGTGAGTGAATAAAGTGTTTTTTTTGCTATAGTATAGTATGCATAAGTTTAGCAGACAATCAAAATGAAAAGCTGACATATAATTATCCTGGACGGAGGGAGTAATATTTGAACTTTCGGGATTGAAGTCACGTTAGCTGATTCTTATATTTGTTTCTCTTAGTTTAATTGAATTGTGTGCGACTGTTTTGTGTATTCAAGTCGTATTTAGCCGATGGGCATCTTGTCTAGTACCAAGTGTTCACTAAAGAATAGTATGGTGCCAGTTATTGCTAGTTACATTGATCTTATTAACTTATAAGTGATAGGAAGCTCTCGATTTGATATAAAGTTTTTGATAGAACAAAGTGTTGTATTTGGACCATCTCAGGCGAATGCCCGGTGGAAGAAAGCTCTGGGAGTCTAAAGACGACAAGAAATGGGGGCATGATAAATTCGAGGAGTTTACGAGGCAGGAAAGGCATCATGAAGAGGTAATACATCAATCAAATGTATATTATTATTTATCTCTTTGTTTGTGTGCATATTTTTTATTTTTACAATTGTGAGTTTCTCTCCAGCATCAAAGAGGTTATAGGGGTCGGTATAGAGGCCGGGGTAGGAATAGAGGAGCGGCTCGTGGATATTTGCAACGAAACAGACCCAGAGAGTACGCAGATAATAGCGATCCTCAGCATAATGCTAGTAATAGTAATAAAAATAATAATAATTATAATAATCATAACAATGCTTCGAAGGGTGTCAGGGGACGAGGACCTCGAAGGTATCAGCCACTTCCAAACAACGACGCACCTGTTACGCACAGCAAACAGTAAGTATTTTTTATATGTATATACATTTTTTTAATCGAGTATTGTCATTCTATGTGGTGTTATTGATAAAGATTGTAATTATCATTGTATTTGTAGATCTGGGAAATATGTCGAGAAGCATCCCAATGCTAGTTCCGGAAGAACCAATCATCCTGTATCGAATGCAGAATCGGATGTGGTTCAGCCCCGGAAACAAGTTGCGTCCAATTTGAACATTGCTTCTCCTCCATTTTATCCGACTGGTACTGCAAAAGATTTGACCGCACCACCACATAAGAGAGAGGCCCAAACTGGTAACCCTAATAATCGAAATGGTGTGGATGGGCGCCATCAAACCTTGCTAGCATCTGTAACGACTAAATTCGATTCTATTGGCTTGGATAGACTCAGCGTCAATGATTCAGCTTCTGCAATGGCTGCAAAACCTTCAAACACGACTCAACCTCAGCCGAGGGGTTCAGGTGGAGCACAAAATTCCTTGCGACCAATGGCCTACCAGCCTACTGCCTCGACTAACCAAATTAACAGAATTCCTTCACCTAGTCATCCCCACCATGCTCAACCTTCTGCACAAGTTTATGGTCAGCAGTTTGGCCAAGGTGCTGGTGTGGTGACAGCGTCAAAATCTGGGGAGATGGAATCTACATCGGTATCTAGTCAATCGAAGACTGCGGCAGTGGATAAAGGAAAAGGAGGTGTTCAAAGCAGTGGGAATGGAAAGGGCCCTTTTATGTACGGTGGACCACAGCTGATGCAGACCTCCAGTGGTCCTGGTGATTCGAACTTCCCTACTTTCTTACCGGGTAAAATGACGAATACTTATGTTTTATATGTTCATATGGCGGATTGAACATTTAATTTTGAGATGTTAACTCATGTAATGGCTTTGGTTATAGTTATGCAATTTGGGACTCAGCATCCCGGGGGAATTGGTGTTCCTGCTGTCGGCATGGCTTTCCCGGGATACGTTGGTCAACCACAACTTGGTCTCGGGGGTTCTGAAATGACGTGGTAAGAACTATATTCCCATTGACATTTTGATTTCCTTCCACTCTTTCGAATCTGAAATTACTCGGTTACTACGATGTTATAATAGTTTAAATCTTGATGATGTTATTGCTTAGTTCGATATGGTATAATTATATTAGAACTTTCAGGCTGCCAGTTTTGACGGGTGCTGCTGGAGCACTGGGGGCAACATATTGTCCTCCGTACATCCCTGTTGATGGTTCGTATAATACCCGTTCGTCTGGTGCTGCTACTTCAACGACAGCTACTACAAGGTAGATAGAATGATTCTTTATTCTTCCATTACTTTCTTCTCTATATGAATGATCTCATGCTCGACATTTTGCTGCAGCAAGGAAACTATCACAGTGAAAGCTGGTACTGAGTGGAAGCCGGCACAAAAGTCTGGTATGATATAATTTTGTTGTATTTCATAGAAAAATCGATATCGGACTACTAGCATTGTGTTTGATTTTATGGATTAATGTATGGTATGATAAGTGTGTTGGCGTGTTTCATTAGGGATTTGGATTTGGGTTTTAAACTGTAAAAGATTGTATTTGAATAGTTGTATGATGTGATATAAATGTGTTAAATGTGTGATGTTTTGAATGTAAAGTTAATTTTTAGTATAATATCAAAAATAATTGTTCGATTGATGTTTTTGAGGGGAAATTTAAGTGAACAGTGAAATGTGGTCCCCCAACCACATAGAGGTATGAGTATAAAGTAATATTTTGTATTGACTCGTTTACTTTTTGTGAATAAATAGAGTATATATGTTACATGTGTTGTGTGAATGTGTGTATATATATTATATATTTTTAGTAATATTCATTGCGGATCGTCACTAAAAAATGCTGGCTGAATATATATATTATGGGTTTGTTTGTTTAGTATATTTTATGTTGATTGTTGACTTTTGTAAGAGAATAAAATATATATATTGGAAATGCGTCGGATACAATATTGGAAGGAAAAAGCCTATATTTATTATTAATTTTTAAATATATAGTTGAGAGGGCAAATAATTAGAACTCTTAGGGAGTGTTTGGTTTTGAGTTTTGGCCTAAAAATTGATTAGATGAGGTGTTCTGGGAATGAAAATATTATATTTCTATAGAAAATAAGAAAAAAAAAAAAAAAAACTCAAAAGAGAACAGAGCATTAGTTCTATATATCATTTGACTTGGAAGTTAATATATATTCCCTTTTCAGATCTTTCGAGTCAAGAGTTTGGACAGAAGCAAAAGAATCCACGGAGGTAAGTGAAGTTTATCGTTACATGACATAATTCCTGCAATGGGGACGGTCTTTACTAACAATACTCGAATCTATTTGCAGATACACAGAGATGAAATTTGACCATTAAGGTAATTAGTGGCGGAATCCATTGCAATAAGCAGCAGACGAAAATCTAACATCTTTAGCATTGGGCGTCTCTTCTATCCGTTCTTGGTTTAGCAAAATTTCTTGGGTTTGCTTGTGGTGCCGGCCTTTACTCTTACCACGGCCCTTTGGGCGACTGCTCGTGTTCTGAGATTATTTAGGTAATTCTGTTATTTCAAAAAAAAAAAAATTATACTTTCATTTCATGAGTCTTGAGTCAATTCAGCATGTTGGCTGCTGCGCTTAGGTATATGCGAAAAACACCTGATCATAGCTGCTGCTTAATTGGAGGACAAGTCGCGCAGCAGTTTGATGACGGGTGGCAACTCCTCATTTCATTTATGCTGTAAGTAAATAAATAAACTAAAGCGCCGTGTAATGTTTATTTTGATATTTTATCGATTGAAATCGCGAGGCTTGTGCAGGTTATTGTGCATTAGACTTTCTTTTGAAGCTTATGAGAAGATTGTAGCCGGGGTTCTTCGAATTATATTTGTATTGCTCTGCCTCTGCCAATCCCATCGACGGTTTAAGAAATTGCAGCGTGAGTTCTTGAAACTCCCTACCATTTGTCTTTTGTTTTTTTCTTTTTTTTTTTGGCTTTAAATGAATCGAACCGAATTACCGAATTGAACCGATTTCGTAGTTGTGTTAATATGTTTGGGTTGAGAATAAAAATTGTTGCTTTTAGTTGTTTTGATGTATTCATTTATTTATAGTTTATGACCTTGTGGATTGATTCTCTACTTTTCTTTGTTCTAACTATTGGTTTGAGTTCTTTTTTGTAGCTTGTGATTAAAGAATAAATAAATAAATAAATTTTTTATGTAATATTCTAAATAACTAATATTTGCTGTACTTAATATTTAAAATATCATTATATTTTTATAATTTATTCGAAAAATATTATTGTATTTGTATTATAAGAGATTAGTAAATATATTTTTGCTTTTTTCTTTTAATTTTTACGGCTTATTGATATAATAATTAATATTCAAATATTAACATGCAAGATAATTTTTTTACAAACAATTTTTTGAATCTATATTAATATTCTTCATTGAATAAGAATTTGTCATTGTTTTGTAAAATAATTTGACTAACAATTTTTTGAATGTGATATAGTAATATTTTTTTGAAAAAATATGTATATATATATATATTTTTTGTAAAAGAACACAATTTTTTATAACATATTCAATTAAAAGTAAATATTTAATTTAATGATTTTTTAAATGAAAAATATTTGTTTGGAAATTTGGATTTTGAAATGAAATTTTAATATAAAAAATTTTGAATTGTAATAATTGGATATTCAAACACACTCCAAATATTCTTTGATATTTTTGTTTTTTTATTGTATTTATATAATAATATTGTTTCTCTCTCCTTTTACCTGTTTAATTTTCATGTCGAATTCGCTGATTATGGAATGGAAGGAGTATATTGCAGTTCATTAGGAGGGCGTTGATTCTTGATTGTCGCAATGGTTATTTTATTAAATAATACTAATAATAATAATAAATGTTAGTCTGTGGTATTTATGTTGATTAGATTCTCTTCTATAGGGAAAGGTAGCCAACCGCATTAAATGCATTATGGTCATCTCAATATTATCTGTTTATATATATATATATATAAGTATTTTAGATTTTTTTTCTTTAAAGAAAATAATAATATTTTTTTTTTTTTTTTGGCAAATCCAAAAGTGCGTGAATAATATGTTGTAGGTGACCTGTCAATATTACAAGTTTGAATATATGATCTCATAATTATGAGTTCATATTATCTGACACCATCGGATCATCTGTTCCGGAATAATAAATCTTCTTTATAAGATATATTGGACTACATTAAATAAAAGATAAAATTTTAAATAGTAGTTGTATAAATATAATTTTGTATTTAAATAGAAGAATCAATCATACGTGAAGGCACAAATAAATGCATCATAGACATTTTTTAAATGACAATCATTATATTTATTTATTCCAATTTTCAAGTATATTTCTTATTTAAATTATACACATTGAATTATTTATATGCTAAGATTAGCCTATTAGAATTATTTTATATCAAAGAGGCATATACGACATAAGTAGATAATAATGGAAAAAAAATAAAAAAAAATGTAGTGATATGGGCAAAAATAAAAAAAAATAAATAAATATTTTAAATTAAAATAGAGAATGTACAATATAACTATTTAATTATTTATGATTAAAATTTAATTTTATATATATAAAAAAATCAAATATAAATAAAAATTTTTATTTAATAAAAATAAAAAATTTTGAAGATAGATAAATTCATAAATTACTAATAAATAAAGTTTAACGTCCAACTGTCATCCACAAGAACGCGCGTGATGCACGCGCCGGAGCTCTCTTTTCACCGCAGCGTACAGTTACAGCTGAAAGTTCGTCCAGTAAAAAATAACAGTAAAGACTCTCTCTCTCTCTCTCTGTGTCTATACTCGTCAGTCGTCACTGCCGCAGTCTACTTTTACGCGGCTTTGGATTTGTCGGTGCCATTCGAAGTTGCGCTCACCATTTCTCATCCAACGCAGATTTACTCTCCACTGAACTTTTTCTGCGGCGGTAAAGTAACTTCTTCCGAGATCCAGTAAATAATCGTCTTCTGTTTTCTGATTCATGTCTTTCGATTGCGGAATAGCGGTTTCGTTGTTGATCTCGGTGAGTTCTTGGGATTAGTTGATTGTTTGTTTTGTCGTTTGCTGGTTGATTATGTGGTTTAGACTTTAGAGCGATCTGTTCGTGCTTTTGCGGTTTTCTTGTTGCATTTTGACTTTAAGCTGAATCGAGAATCGATTTAGTTGCAGAATCTGCGAAAACAACTTGATATATAATTTGTTTTGAATTTACTTCTGGTTTTACTTTGCAGGCAAGATTCGCACATTGATAGTTCATACTGAAGATTGTGTAGAGCTACTTGTTAGTTGTGTTTTGTGGATGCTTGAGTTCGATTAATTGAATTTTAGATAAATCTGGTCGAATGCGTGTGTGCATATAGTTTGATTTAGTTAGGGATGTTGTTGTATGTCAAACCTGTGATAGATTGAGGATTTCTGCAATGGAGGAAGTGAATCTTTCTAGATTGTCTCCATTAAGACCTGCCGGAGGTTCCTTGAAGTCTCCTTCCGGGAAGTCGACGCCGCGGGGATCTCCTTCATTTCGGAGATTGAATTCAGGCCGGACGCCGAGAAAGGATGGGAGGAGTGGTGTTCTTGGTTCATTGTTATTCCGAAGTAATCGAATTGTGCTGTGGTTGCTTCTGATCACTCTTTGGGCGTACGCCGGTTTTTATTTTCAGTCACGATGGGCTCATGGTGACAATAAGGAAGATCTTTTTAGCGGCGGCTATGGAGGCGAGTCGAATGGGGAGAATTCCGAATTTCGGCACAAGGAAAGGAGGGACTTGATTGCGACTGTAGAGTCCGAGGCGAGTAAGTTGCGAAATGGGACAGAAAAGTTAGGTTTGAAGAGTTCTGATGTGGTTCTTGCCAAGAATCGACCAAATAATACTGTTAGTTCGGGGAAAACGAAAGGGAAGAGATCGCGGAGGAGAGGCAGGGCGAGAGGTAGGCCGAAAATGGCGAAGGAAGATGTAGAACCCGAAGCTGATGTGGTCGAAGACGAGATTCCTAAGAGGAATACGACGTATGGATTGCTTGTTGGCCCATTCGGGTCTGTAGAGGACACGATTTTGGAGTGGAGCCCTGAAAGAAGATCCGGGACTTGTGATCGAAAGGGTGCATTTGCGCGCCTTGTTTGGTCGAGGAAGTTTGTGTTGATATTCCATGAACTGTCGATGACTGGAGCCCCGCTTGCGATGATGGAGCTGGCAACAGAGTTTCTGAGCTGTGGAGCTACGATCTCAGTTATAGTCCTCAACAAGAAGGGCGGATTGATGCCGGAGCTCGCCAGAAGGAAAATCAAAGTTCTTGACGACAAAAGGGATTTAAGCTTCAAAACAGCCATGAAAGCGGATCTCATCATTGCAGGATCTGCTGTTTGTTCGTCCTGGATCGGTTAGAGCTCTACCCTTCTCCTGTCATTTCCAATTTTGCGGTTTTATTTATGCTGTAATGCGAAATCCATGATTAACATTGTCTTGGCGAACTAGAATTTGTTTTTTAAGTAGAATTTGATGTGGAGGTTTCGATTATTTCTGTGTTAAGTCGAGCAGTCTAAGGTTCGAACACTTCTATGTGATGTGATAGCCATCAACGATGAATCTGATTCGATGTTTGGTGCAAAAGAATCGAAGCTCTGAAGAGCATTGTAACCAAACATTTGGCTTCTAACTCGATAAGCAATTTAGTGTCGATCAATCAGATATCTTGTTCTTCCTTGTCTGCCCTGTTTCATGGGTATTGCGATGTTGTGATTTTAGTTTTCGACTTTTTGCTTGAAGATCTGAAGCCTCTGCTGTTCTTGAATGTTAATCTCAGATCAATACCTCTCCCGGACAGTGCTCGGTTCAAGCCAAATCATGTGGTGGATAATGGAGAACCGACGAGAGTACTTCGATCGATCGAAGCTCGTGCTCAACCGCGTAAAGCAACTGATATTCCTCTCCGATTCGCAGCTGAAACAGTGGCTGGCATGGTGCGACGAAGAACACATTCGATTAAAGTCGGAGCCGACACTGCTGCCGCTCTCCGTCAACGACGAACTCGCCTTCGTCGCCGGCATCCCCTGCTCGCTAAACTCTCCGTCATTCCCGACGGAGAAGATGCTCGAGAAGAGGGCGTTGTTAAGATCCGCCGTTCGAGAAGAAATGGGATTGAGCGACAGCGACATGCTCGTCGTTACCCTGAGTAGCATAAACCCCGGGAAAGGCCAGCTGCTGCTTCTGGAATCGTCTCGATTGATGTTGGAGGGGCCGACGATGCGTAATTCAGGCGTCAACGACTCGATCTTGATCGAGCATGATTATTATTCGCGAGCGCTTCTTCAGCACTCGAAGAAACTCCGCGGATCCTCCTCGGCTCGACTTGGTTTTTCGCTCGGAAAGAGATACAGAAGGCCTCCCCGAACTTTGGAAATCGACGGCGAGCTTTTTCCAAGCATGAGACGGAAATTTTTGTCCGAGAGCGAGAAGGAGCAGAAGAACGTCAAGATTCTCATCGGTTCGGTCGGATCGAAAAGCAACAAAGTGCCGTATGTGAAAGCGCTGCTTAAGTATCTTAAAATGCATTCGAACTTGTCGAGCTCTGTGCTTTGGACTCCGGCGACGACTCGCGTCGCCTCCTTATACGCCGCCGCTGATGTTTACGTCATGAATTCTCAGGTATGTCGCGCAATTCTTTTTGATGAGATGCTTGTATCGATGTTTGATTTATAATGTATCGAGTAAAATCGATGATTTCTCTTCAGGGACTCGGAGAGACATTCGGTAGGGTAACGATTGAAGCCATGGCATTCGGACTTCCGGTATGGCGCTAATTCTTCTTCACTACAAACTTTTAAATTGACCGTCGCACCTAAAAATTTAAATTTTAAGTGAATTGGTCGTTTAATATGGTATTATAGTCGGGAGATGTCCCGTGTTCGATTCCTACCGCTGATCGTCTCGGTTACGTATAATTTATTTATATACATTGTTTGATCGGCATTGTTCATGCAGGTGTTGGGAACCGATGCCGGAGGCACGAAAGAGATCGTCGAGCACAACACGACGGGGCTCCTCCACCCGGTAGGGCGGCGCGGGGCGGGGGTTCTCGCCGAGAACCTCGATCTCTTGCTGCAGAACCCTGGAGCAAGACACCAGCTGGGAATCAAAGGTAAAGAGAAGGTGGAGAAAATGTACCTGAAGAAACACATGTACCAGAAATTTGGGGAAATCTTATACAAGTGTATGAGGATAAAATAGAACACTTCTCATTCTTCTACGTCCAAAGGTGTATCCGAATATATACATACGACATTACACACACTTGGTTTTTTTTTTCTTCTTCATTACCTCTCCTTCTTATATACATATCGTGTACTAATATACAACAAAATATAATAACGGTAATGTAAAATAAGCTCTATTTATGGCGCAAGGCCGTGTTTGGGAAAACTTAGATTGGAGGTTATAATGTACATTGGATCCTGAAATTAAAACGATCAGATTTTTACAGTTCCAAACAGCACCCTGACAGAACATGCCCTGAAAATTCCTCTTTTGCCCCTATTTGTACCCATTTGCCGGTCTTCAAATCCAATACGAATCCCTGGTAATGGGCCCCAAATCCTTCCGACCCGAACACCGCCACTTTCCCTTCCCACGCCGCCGCGAACGCCGTATTCCTGACGGCGGCGGGGAGCTCCGCCGCGATCCGCCATGTCGATCCTTCCAAGGCTAACAATTCGTTGCCACGGCAGAGGAATAGGTTTCCGGCGTCGTCCTCGAGGCAATTCCTAGGGCAAGTTGGATTGTCGAGGAAATCGTCTTCCACCGGCGACCACCGGCGCTCCGCCGGATCGAACGATTCGGCGGTGGTCTCGAACCTTCCTTGCGCGTCGGTCGGGTAACCGCCGACGACGAGGAATTGGCCGCGGCGGAATAGTCCTTTAGCCTCGTCGCGTTCCTTCGCCATGTCCGGTAAGTCCGTCCATTTGTCCTCCGCTACATCGTACGCCATCGCCGACTTCAGCGCGCATTTCTCGCCGTCGTGGCCTCCGGCGACGAACACCGTCCGATGCGCGGCGTCCGCCGCGCACGCGAAGAACAACCGCTTGCCGCCGGGCATGTCGGCGCCCCTCCGCCAGGTAGCGGTTACGAAATTGTAAAGATACACGCCGTTCCACACCTCCCAAGTCCCCGGGTCGCACCCGCCCATTACCACCAGATCCGACCCGACTCCGACGACCTGGCAGAACAGAGGCAATCCGTGAGGGTATCCGGGTAGGGCTGGTAGCTCCGCCCAGTAACCCGTCGCCGGTTCGCACAGCGTCAGCCGGTAAACCGGCGGGGCTGACACATGCTTCTTCACTCCAACCTCCCGGGTCGGGTCGAACCGCGTTTGGGCCATCACAATTACCCTATTTGTCAACCCGGAAGCTTGCCGAACCCTCCAGAACTCAGAAGCTTGAATCTGACGCTTCCAGCTTTTGCAGACGGAGGCTACGGAGGAGAAACACTGATGAGGAATTCTCACCAAGCATTCGAGCCCGACGTCGTACGGAAGGCCTGGAATAAGATCTACGTCGGCAACTCTCCCCATAAGGTACGCCTTCAATCAAACCTAACTCTAGTTTCAATTTAATTGAAGATATTTCTGAATTGGGGATTTTGATCGAAAATTAGGGCAGAAGAATTCTAGAAGAATATAGAGTGGGTATAATCTAATTCGCTTGTGTAGGCGTCTGTGTGTGTTCTTGATGAGGTTTTCTCTCCACAGATATATATATACACACCCGCGTATATCATGTATGTAGAAAATGGATAGGAACTAGGAACAGGACACAGTAGTGGCAAGCAGAAGGGGTAAAGTCTTCTAGAAGAAAATGAAAGCTTGGGGAATGACTACTGGGCCGTTCTTTAACTGCCTTGAGTTTGATTTTTATTACTACCCAAAAGATAAACAAAAAAAAAAAAAAAAAGCCTTCAAAGGGGCCAAAGCAGATGGTTTCATTTTCTAGTTTTCTTGAATTAGAGAGCCAATGGATATGGCACGGGTGGATATGATTGAGTGTGATGGGGCATGCTAGATTGTATGGTAGTATGGATGATCTTTGGACACTTTGGGCAGTCGGAGTCATGTGGGGCTTAGTAGTTGTAGATAAGAGCGATCAAGCCGTACGCAGCTTGTCTATGTATTATTTTATTGGGTGTATATATATTTATGCGTGTATCTGTGTATATTTTATTTTTGTGTCTGTTTATGGTTCATAGTATTTGGAGATAATATTGAATAAGTCCACTTGAGGGCTTGGTTGATTCTGATGGGATTTAATCCCTTTATACAGTCACAAATTGGTCCAGTGGACCAGTGTATTGTATTAGAACCTAGTATTCAATCAGGCTGGAAAATGAAACATAATTGTGTGTTAATTGATACAAGGGGAACTCTTTATATGAGGTCTTAAGAGGGAGTTCATATTTTCGAAGTTAGTTGTCTGTGTCAAAACCCATAATACCCAATTTAGGGGAGGGGTCTTTTTTAGGATTCAATTCATCTTATCTCATCTGTTTAATTGAATCCATAAGTTCTTTTTTCTTTATTGATTAAGTGATTCAATCAAGAACCACATGTTGAATTAGGAGTGGATTTATTGCAATTGAGGTTTATCCATATACAATTCCCAAATGTACCTTAAGGGGTAGTTCATATTTTCAAACTCGAAATTTTTTTTGACATTTATGAAATCATTTGGTTGTTTATAGCAAAACCCATAATACCCAATTTTGGGGAGGGATCTTTTTTAGGATTCAATTCATCTTATCTCATCTGTTTAATTGAATCCAGAAGTTCTTTCTTCTTTATTGATTAAGGGATTGAATCAAGAATAATATGTTGAATTACGAGTAGTTCATACTTTTGAACTAGAATATTTTTTGGGACATTTATGAAATCATTTGGTTGTTTATAGCAAACCCATAATACCCAATTTTGGGGAGGGATCTTTTTTAGGATAAATTCATCTTATCTCATCTGTTTAATTGAATCCAAAAGTTACTTCTTTATTTATAAAAGGGATTGAATCAAGAATCACATGTTGAATTAGAAGGGGATCGGTTGCAATTGTGGTTTATCCATAAACAATTCCCGAAAATCCCTTTGCCTTTTGGTCATTGTGAATTAATTAAATGTGGAGTATGGTATCTATTTATCTATCATTTAAGTAAGTTTATGTAATCTTGTGTTTGACTTTTGATAATAGTGTTTAATAATAATTAGGGTGGCATTCTTTGATTGCTTATATATTTGGCATTTGCAATAGTTGGGTTAATAAATTATGGGATTGACTATTGAATACACAATATGATGAATGTAACGCAATGACATATGTTAACTTTGGGATTTGGACATGAAACTTGAAACCACATGCATATGCATGAATGGAATTTGATGAAACTAGGGAGAAGATATTTTTGTAGTCTACTTGTCCACGTGGCACCATTCTTATCCTCTCAAACTAAAAGCAATTAAAATAGCCACATGGGTTCATCAAATTCAATATTTCCCTATCTAAATAAATGATTACTTTTTTTTGTGTTTGTTTAGAGGTTTGGATTCTTTTTATGGCAAAATTGTCTATAAATTTTTTTGTGATTTCGAAACTAACATAAATTTTGTATTTATTTTATAAATTACATGACCTTCCGTTATACTTTAAGTTACAAGAGATGTCATGCAATTTTTAAAGTATACAGAGATTTTAGAGTGAATTTTGAAATCATATGGGAGATATGAGCAATTTAACATTTTTTATTTATTTTATTGGAATTTGAATAGTAAAAATTTTGAATTTAAATAATTATATGATGTGATATAAATAAATTTGATATAATATTTTGAATGTAAAATTAAATTTTGGTATTGTGAGATAATTTGATAAGAGAACACTCATTATGCCTTTAAATTTTTACATGATTTAATTTTGGCACAATGTTTTTGATGGTATAGCTTAGATAGATTTTGAGTTGCTTTAATTTTGTTTTGAATGATTTTATACATTTATATAGAAAATTAATTAAGAAAATGTACAAAAAAAAAAAAGTTGTTTAGTTAATGTAATATTTTGTTATAACAAAAATATATCTAATGTGATATTTATTTTAAAAAATTACTGAAATGAATAGTAACGAATTATTTAAACATATGTATCTATATATATATGTGTGTAAAAAGAGCCTGAATATATACATGTAAAGCAATGTTGTGGCCTTGTGGGAGCTTTTAAAATACCGGTATTTTAGGCTGTATTTTAGGAGAGGAGAGATGTAATTAGTAGATAATTAAGAATGTATTAGTAAAAATAATTATTCGATAATATAAATAATTATAAATTAAGATTAAGATAACTAATTAATTTAATTAAAATTAAAAATAAAATAAAATTAAAAAGTTTAAAATGAGATTAAAGTGTAATCATTTTCCAATTGTATGTGGGACGGATAGAATATCATGGATGGAGGGAGTAATAAAAGGAATTAAAAAGTATTGAGAGGGGCGAAGGGTTGTATTATATTATTTGATATTAATAATTGTATCTTAAATAATTATTTAATTATTAAGGTTGTGTTTTTTTTTTTTTTTTTTTTTAGAATCTGCAGCCATTACCCTGTAAATCAGGCCCGACGGAAGTCAGAGAAATAAAAAATTGTATAATTATCTTGTTTGTTTGAGTCAGATAAATATAACTTAGAGAGAAATAAATCATTTCTATTTTTCTGTTTTTATTTCTCTCTCATATGCAGAGAAATAAAGGGAAATGACGTTGCAGTATATTTTTTCTAATTTTTATAATTTTTTAAAAATTATATTATTTTAATTTTATAAAAATCAAATTTAATTTATTGTTAAAGTATTTAATTTTTACGATCTTTTAAAAAATTATGCTAAAATATAATCTTAAAAAACATTGTATATAATTTATAATTTTTTTAAAAAAAATTAATCACCAAAAATATTTTTCATGAATTCTCATTTGTTAAAATTTTTTTTTATCCGGTTAATTATTTATTCTTGTTTGATCATTCGTATAGCTGTATTTTTTTATTTTATTTTATTTATAATTTTTTCAACTGAATTTTCTGTTTTGCGAAACAAGAGAAATAATTCTCATTCTCTGCTCAATTATATTTTTCATCGATTTCATTCTCTACTCTCATTTCTCTTATCTATAATTCCATTCTCTGTACCAAAATGTCCAAATATAGTTGACTTATGATAATAGATGTTCTCCCTATAAAGAGCAATCAACCTGTGGGTTTATTATTATTATTATTATATCTGAATATCTAGTCTTAGCTTGGAATCAAAGGGCAATGTGTTGCTTTGGTGTTAAGATAGTGACCTCCATGATGCCACTTTTTGTTGTTTTTTATTACTATTATTATTATTTGAGCTTTATTCTACATCCATAATTGCTATTATTCATGTTTCCTTCTTACCCTTTTCCACTTTTTAGCAATTTGTTGAAAAACAGACAAAAACATACAAGTTGGGAAACAGTTTTTGAGTTTTTCCTTTTTCTAGTGGTTTTTTTTTTTTTTTTTTTTTGATTTTTTTTTATTATTTTTTAAGTAAAAATGAATTAGTAACATGTGATATTTGTATAGTGTTTATAGGGTTGAAAATTGTTATTATGTGGAAAACAATGACATAGTAATTTTTTTTAGCCGTTTTAAATTTTATTTATTTAAAAATAAATAAATAAAAATGAATAGTTACACGTGATATTTGTGTAGTGTTTATAGGGTTGAAAATGTTATGTAGCCATGCAGGGGGAAAAAGACACGGGTTTAATTTCTTTGCTAACTTTGGTTATATTTTGGTGCATTTTATTAATTTTGCAATTTTGGATTAAAATAATTGTTTAATTTTTATATAAATAGGTATGTTGAATAAATTAAAATTTTAATAGTATATAATAACTACAAGTAAATGTATGATTTGATTTTTTTTCAGAAAAAATAATAAATTATTGTACTAAACAAATAGTTAAAATAAGGGGTGAAAAACACAATGAAACAAACTCATGTATGTGTATGTAATTTCAGATCTTATAAATAAAATTAAATTTCAGATTGACGAATAGGAGTATTAAATTGTACTCATATTTTCCCAAGTCTATTCGCCACGTTAGTTATTTGTCTATTAGCAGCATTCATTGTGGTGAATTAATTAGCGTTTGCTGTCTACGGTCTACCATATCTATTTTATTATTATTATTATTATTATTATTATTATTATTTTAAATTTTTTTTGGGACAATCTCATAAATTTAAACTTTTTCGAGAATTATATAATATAAAAGTAACGATATTTCTGTAATATATTGTACTCCTTCCGTCTGTCAAATTTATTCTTATTTTTCTTTTTAGTCCGTCCACTAAACTTAACCCATTACTAATTTTAGCAAAGTAAACAAATCTAACATTTAATTATTATCCTTCATTCAACACTTATTTACAGTAAATATCATTAACTTTATTACATTTTCTTTCTTCGTTTACTTTACTTTTTAACTAAATTTTTAAAAATATTATCAACTATCTATCACTTTTTCAATAAAATATCCATTTTTTTCAATTATCGTGCCGAACCCAAATGAGCTAATTTTAATCGAAGTTCTTCGGAGCTAGTATTATTATTGAAAACCATTAAAATTAAACAGCTATGATTTAGGTTTTAAACCTAAACCAAACACACCCATAATTCATTGTCTTAAAAATATTACTAGAACCTTATCTTACTATACACACAATATATGTATTTGATGAAGCACGTGAGCTGGGCCTTGTATGGTACTTGATTGGGCTTATGTAGGCTGGGCCACGTGGGTAGGCCCGAGCAACCAAATTGGGGCTTATCTATAGCCTCTGGTAAATAATGGGTTTTGAAGTTATGACAATAAGGTAATAACATAAGTTGGATTCCAAAAAAACAAGGAAAAATCACATCAATACACAAACTAATTACTTCTGTCAAACTAGCTATACGTAGATGTATCATTAAAGAAAATCAATTACAATATAATATAAATTATTGTATATTAAAATTATAATAATTAATTAGTCTAATTTAAAATAAAAAATTAATATAAATTTAAAAATAATAATAATAAAATATAATTAAAATTTTTTTTATAAAATAATATGAGACGTAAAACTTACAAAAAATGACTAACATATAGTTCCTCAGTCCAGCTTGAAAATATACATATTTCTATTTTGAAATGTCCAATTATAAAGTAATAGATGTCTCATTTTTTTCACAAATAACCTCACTTTACATCACATCGTTAATTATATATTAAAAAAATAAAGATAAAATATCTTTATACTACTTTTAATTACCCACTATAATTAAAATATTATTTTTTTTAAATTCTGCGCCAAAAGTAGACGTATATTTTTTGCTTTTACGGACTGAGTAATTCATTAGGGTGTGTTTGTTTAGGGGTTTGGATTTTGAGTTGGGATTTGAATAGTAAAAGTTTTGAATTTGAATAGTTGTATGATGTGATATAAATAAATATTGATGTGATGTTTTGAATGTAAAATTTATTTTTAGTATAATATAAAAAATAAAAAATAGGTGTTTGATTTGATATTTTTAGGAGAAAAAAACGGGATGAATAGTAAAATTTTGTAAAAATCTTACAACGAACACACCCTAAAATTATTTTATAAAACAAACAGAAATTATTCATTTTTAAATATCTGGAAATTGTTTCTCTCTTCAACTGTACCAAACACGCTAGCCCTAGCTTCAATGGAATCGACGAGCATGATTTTTCTAATTTTAGAAAATGGAGAAGAACAGAGGGAAACCAAAAGCAACCTTTCCCATGTTTCCTCTGCTTATTTTTTCGAATAATTGTCCACAACATCTCAGCCGATCCAAAACTCTAATTCATGTAAAAAGAAAACACTCTAATCGGCCTATACGACGGCGACGACGACTTACCGTGATTCTAGCGCAGATCTGTCAAATTCTCAGGCAGAAACTCGAGTTGCAGCACACCGCGGCTCGTAATGTGCAGCCTGCAACTTCGATCTCCTTGGCTTCAAACAATCCTCCGGCGCCGGCGGTCGTCCTACTCCGGCATCAGCACCGGCAAGTGTTTTTGGAAGATGGAGTAAGATAAGAAATCTCCCGCGCAAGCTTCAACTGAATTTGCTTACTCTGTTTATATCATACGCTTTTTTAAAGTCGCGTTTCTCAAAACGCTCGATCCTCTGTGTTGGTTTCAAATATTTTGGTTGATAACTTCCGATTTTACGTCTAAAGATATTACATTAAATAATTTGTTTTAAATTTTTATATTATACTTCCTCCATACACACAAACTAATGTTTTTTTTTTTTTTTTTTGACACGTACAATAACTGTTGTTTTTTTTTTTTAAACACAAAATTTATATTTTTACCCTTCATACAGTTTATTACTTTTAATCTCTATTATACAATTAAGGGCAATTTTGTCAATTCATAACAAAAATAATCACTAAAAAAACCGTGCAAATATACTTTTGACAATAGAAATTGGAATGAGGGAGTAATAGAAGTAAATTTTATGTTTGAAATATTATGTCTAACATTTTTTTCTAATTATATATAAAATCAAATGTCACACATGGTTCGCCGCCTAGTGTGTGACTTTCCTGTCGAGCCTGCAGGATATTAGGTTCGGCCGGGGGTTTACTCAGTGCGCACTTTCGGATAGCGGTTGCGGGTTTCCATATCATAAAAAAAAACATTGAACAAAAAAACATTTGTGAAGGTAATAATTTTTGTATGGTTGCAAATCCTGTGTTGATCCGGCCAAGTTAGCATGATGTCGATTCGATTGTACATAATTAATGACCTTACATACAATGTGCAGTTAAATTTTGAAGGGGACTTACATACACAATTTTGAATAATATGTCTCTAAACTTGCAAATTTACGTGAGGAACGCTATAAAGTACAATTGACATAATAGTTACAAATTTACATGTCTAAACAAAAGAAAAGAATAATTCGTTAAGGTACACTGTTTAAAAATCTGGATATGAAAGAACAATTAGTCATTATTATATAGTCACGATATAACATAATTAACGAACATACCTCGCATTGACACCAAGATTTTTTGCATTAGACAATTAGTTCAAATACATTTTTCTAAAAGCATCATTTAACTATCAATGTAATAGCCCTTTCATGAGAATCTCGTATTCCCGATAAATTACCATCATACGGACATGAATTAAGCAGTATAGCAACAATAACAATTTCATTATGCTCATTGAGAAGTAAATGATTTATACCGTAAGGAGTAGACACAATATAAACTGTTTTCTATCACTACTTTTTATGGATTTAAACTATTAACGGGAAGAGAGTTTGAATTTACAACCTTCACTACCTTCACAAAAAATACAAGGTTTACATTGGAGTGCGTAACACACTTCTACATTAGTCAATCCACCACCGAGATGCTTTCTCCATCACTATTTCTCAATTATCGGCGTTATGTAATAATATTGTTGAACCATAAAAATTTGGAAATTAAGGTTTCGGTCCATGTGTCTATAAAGTGGAAGTGAGTGCCGGAATGTCCAGTAAGGTTGCTACCCATGAGGCTAAGCGGATCAGTGGCTCAATGGGTTTTGCTCAAATTTAGTGGGCTGATGGTTTGATAAAGTTTTGAAAGTGACGAGTCGGATTTTACGATATTCAACTAGTCTGTTCTCGAAAATCAGTGTGACGTGTTGGATAGTTTGGACCGCCCGATCTAGGGTGGATGAGTTTTGTAATGTACAACCGTTAAGACAGTTGCTTCACGTTCATGTGATCGAACTAAATTATGAGTTTGAGATTGAGAGGACGAATATAAAAATAACTCCGTAAATTTGTTATATCTTTATTTTTGGTTGTTTAATCAGTTTAATTTCATACTAATTTTATCCGGTGTTTAAAGATATATAATCTCAAACACAAATTATCAAGTTTGAAATTTATTTTTGAATTTTTTACTTTATTTTGTTGGATTTCGCACAACAACAAATATATTTGTAATTGATGTAAAAATTAAAAGTATTAATATTATTATAAATTATTTTTACTATAATATAAAATAAATATTTTAAAGTGGGTAAAAAAAATGATAAAATAATTACTTTTAATTAAAAAAAATATTTTCGGATAATAATTAAAATAAACGAGTACATAGATAGGTACTACACTTACAGATATATATTCTTTAATTCAAATATTTAAATGTGAAACCATTTATTATTTATTAATTTTATTTTGTAAGATAAATAAGTACTGAATTAAATATTTTAAAAAATAAAAACAAAAATTAAAAAACATATAGCCAATAATATCTATTTTTCTACTAGAAAATTTATAAATTCAATACAAAATATTATTTTTTATATTTACATTTTTATACATAACATACAAATCTATTTATCTATTAAATATAATTTTAGAAATACTATTAAAAATTTATTTTCACTATTCGAGTTTTATAGTGCGAAATGACGAGACTGCCCTCAAAGGAAATAAGTGGACTCTTCCATCACTATACAAAATACGTACAAAATTTAATTTAATTTATTTGTTTTATTACTTATTCTATTTTATTTCATTTTTATTTATGCGTTTTTTCGTATTTTCAGTGAAATTGTGATTGCAGGTTTGCTTTAGGCTTTTTAACACTTCCCTTCTGTGTTCGCCTTACCTTGTTGTAGGGTTGCAGCAGATAAACGCCACCCCCCTCCCCCCACCCCACCCAACCCAACCCAACCCTCCCTCATCACCGCAGCCCACCAGACCTCCCTCCCATCATCCCTTCCTCGATCGCTCGCCGTCTATTTGCTCAAACTCCTCTGCAATTAATCTCCCCTTCGTGGTTTGCTTGATTGGCTGAAATGGGCGCTTCGCTTCCACCTAAAGAGGCCAACCTCTTTAAGCTCATCGTTGTAAGTATTTGTTTTTTTCTTTCAATTAGCCGCTGGGTCGAGCTTTGTAGCTGTTCACTTCTGCCCAAGTATTTGGGGATATCGAGGGATTAAATTTTGTATTATCTGTGTAGTGCAAAACCCTAGGAGTCGATTGTGGCTGCTATGAAGAGTGTTTGTTTCCTTTGCGGCTCTTGGAGCAATTCCGTGTTTAATTTGTTTGCTGTGCCACATTTTTTGTTTGGGAAATGGTTTCGATGTGTGGTCTCTGTTTGTCTGCTGAATGCAGCACTGAGCTGTGCTCTGTAATAGATATGGGGTTTTGTTTTTTGGAAGCCTCAGGTTTATGCAGTTTGAATGATGAAATATATATATATATATATGTATTGTGTGGATAAGGGAATAATGATCAGCACATTAAGAGTTTGCTTTGGGCATTCTTTATGGATGATATGGTTCATTATTGTAACTGCTGTTTGTCTTGTTAGGATATGACAAGTGGCAACTATTGGAATTGATTGTGACTTATATTGGTGTGTTTACTTTTGTTTTGGGATATTTTTAGTGATTTAGGTTGGTTTGGATATGAATTTGAATTTGAATTTTTAGGAGTTGAGAAAAGTGGTTAGATTTAATGTTTTATACAATGTTTAGGTGTTGAGAATGATTTGTTGGATGGGAAACATCTCTCTACTATAGATTGCTCATTCCTAAAATAGGTGAACAAAGCCAGCCATTGAAATCTTTCGATGGAGTAAAGGGGTGTTGTGATGAGAATTTGCTTGACATATTTACCCTTTTCGATTGGCAGTTTTGAGTGTTTTTATTTTGCTTGTGGACTGGATTGTCTATCTTTTTATACTCAATGCAGAACATTGATATTTTCATCATATCTTTAGGAAACATATGCCATTTGTTTTATTACTGCAGTAAAACTGATTTGAAACTGGTGGTTGATCCATTGCCATGTTTGTATGCAAATATAAATGTTTTCTATGATCATCATGATTAGTGTCTCACCATTTATTTGTTTGTGCAGAAATCATATGAAACAAAACAGTACAAAAAGGGTTTAAAGGCTTCAGATGCAATTTTAAAGAAGTCTGCTGATCATGGAGGTATAGAGGCATATGCTCATTTATCATGGAAAGATGATTAGCCTTTACCTTTTTGTTCTTGTAATAAGAATCTATTCTTTCACTACTTACTGAAATAAAAAAGGTTGCACCTAGATATGTTATGAAAGTGTTTTGGAGTTTTGGGTTGGTTTGATGGTAGTAAAAAGTTGAATAGAAAATATGTATCTGATTCGATATTTTGAATAGAGAATTAAGTTTTTGATATAATATTTTTGAAATGGAAACTATGTTTTGGATGTAATAATTTTTATATAGTGATTTTTTGGTGAATAGTGCAAACACAGGCTTGAAATTATAAGTAAACAGTGTTTAAATTTTTATGATCTTGTAGCCTTTTATTTGGCATTTGATCAGCAGCTGTGAATGTGCAATGGACAAGTTAGATAAAATTATCTTGGAGACGAGGACTGTAACTTTGTTATTTTTTGTCTACTCGGGCTCTTAAGACATTGAGTTTGGCTTAGCATTAAATTTTAAGTTTTCTTTATAATTCTGATATTAGAAAACAAAATACATTTCTCTATCCTTTGTTATGTTCCTTTAAAGTAACAAGTTTGAATGCATTGGTATCATTTGTCTTCTTAATCTATATATGGACTGCAAGAATTCCTTTTGTGGATCTTATTCTGATTGATGTTCTCATTTTCAATGGTTTCATGTTTCTGATTTCCTATTGGAACCTAGAAACTCTGTCGATGAAGGGTTTGATATTGAACTGCATGGACCGCAAACAAGAAGCATATGAACTCGTCCGACTTGGATTGAAGGTCTGTATATTCTCTCTCATGTATTTATACATCATCTTATATGGTAATAGTCACACCAGTGTTATTTGCAGAATGATCTTAAGAGTCATGTTTGCTGGCATGTGTACGGTCTTCTGTATCGCTCCGACAGAGAATACAGAGAAGCAATTAAGTGCTACAGGAATGCATTAAAGATTGATCCTGACAATATTGAGATACTAAGGGACCTGTCTCTTTTACAAGTGAGTTTAAGATATGCTTATTATTTATGAAAAGATCGTTATACTTGCTAAGATGTCTTTTTTGAATATTAATTCTGGATCCTGTGTTGCAGTTTATTGTTTTCTCTTCTACTGCATGGCATTGAGTGTTTCCATGATTGCTACTTAGGTTATTTTGATAGTTGAAGACACAATTCAAGCTGGACCATTGGGTGGCCTTAAAATAAAATAGGAATTGATGTAGTGATTATCTTGTGTGATGACACAAAGCTTTACAATTATATATAATGTAGGTTGGCATGCAAAATAATGATTATCTGGTTTCTTAGCTACACTTTTTCCCTTCAGTTTATAGTTTATTCTGTGTATAGTTCTTATATCCTAATAAACAAAGTAACTCCATTTGGATATGGTTAATTGTTTGGGTCCTCAAGTTTCAATTTTCTGGCAGATTTTACTTTGTTTTGTGGTCAGTTGGCAAACACTTATGATTGGCATATATTCCCAACTTCATTATTCATGAAATGGTGTGCCTGCCACATTTTGGTACTGTCTTATTGTTCCATTCATTCTGTACTTTTTGGTAGTCATTATGAGTCAAGAGATTTAGAGTAAATTGGTGAAAAGTGAAATGTAAACTTGATGGTGAACAACATATAGTTGGTTTGGGCCAGGAAAACAGAAGATCATGGGAGGGGATTTATTATACACTTAAATGACATGCTAAAAGTGGTCATTGCAGGTTTATAGGTGGCAATGACTGCTGGATCTATCTGCAGTTTCTCTGTTTCTCAGAAAGATGTTTGCCATGATTTCTTAGTTACTGAAACAGTAGTTATGCATTGTGTTTTTCCAGCCATGCTACAGGATACAAAGTTTTATAAGATTGTGTTTTGAGCGTGCAATGCACTGTGCGCGTTGAAAGGATGTAGCTTAGATGCATCAGGATAATTTGGATGGGAAAGATATAAGATACATTACATGGAGTGCTGGTTTTATGTTAAAAAAATAAGTGAATTTGATGTGCTCATATGAAACTAAAATTTTTCTAATACTTGAAAATGTGGCATTGTTTTTGCTAAACAAAGGAATAAAGCTGCTTTGAGATTTATTTTTGTTTATTAGGGTTAACTAGGATTAATTAGGGTGTATTTTATTTTTTATGTGAATAGTTCTATCTCACTCAAAGCTTCCTGCTGTCTCATTTTTCATTTCCCCCTTTTGCCTGTCACCTTCCTTCTGTCTTTTGGGTGCTGTTGGTCCTCCGCCTGATAAGGCAGCTTGCAGCTGCTGTCCTTTTTTTTTTTTTTTTTTTTTTTTTTCCGGGTGTTTGTGACTGTGTGTTTATAAGATAGTTTTCGAAATACTTATCCCCATCTTAATTATACCTTATAAAAATTGCAAAAGAAACCCATGCTATCTGCCGGCCGTATTAGCATGCATTTGTAACATGTAAACATCTTTCTTTTTCATCCGGCTGATGATACTATGTTGTTTTCGTTATATATTACAGGCACAAATGCGTGACTTGGCAGGTTTTGTAGAAACAAGGCAACAATTGCTCACTCTAAAACCAAATCATCGCATGAATTGGATTGGTTTCGCTGTTGCCCAACACCTGAACTCCAAGTATGTTTGGTTTATATTCATGTGTTCGTTTTTGTTTAGGTCTTAATTTCTTCTTATGCCAGCTCTGTACTCTTCATTGCATTATGCACCCCAGAAAAATTCTTTTAGCTAACCATAATGCCAAGGAACCTTCGATGTTCTGATCCACATTGAATGGGTCCACATTGGATTCCTCTCCCTCCCCTAAAGTGTGGAAGCATTGTAAATGGGATTTTTTATTAATTATTTGAGGTTTATGCTTACCGGAGTTATTCATTAGTGGATCAAAGGCAGTTGATATCCTTGAAGCTTATGAAGGAACTCTCGAGGATGACTACCCTCCTGACAACGAACGTTGTGAGCATGGAGAGATGCTTTTGTACAAGGTATGAAGCTGTATTAGCTGTCTCTGTATAGCGTGGCGCACATAAATTTATGCTTTCAACTCTGGAAATTGATTTATAACCCTATCTATTAAGACAGTTTATGGTATTGTATAATGCAAATATATTGTACATATTCAGATAATGGCATCTGGTTATCATTTGGTTGGCTGTCTGCTACCATATACTTTTGCTACCAAGCATTTAATCTGCCGGCAACACTTCATGCTTCAAGTCATATCTACTATATTGTTGTCTACACCAAGTTAGATATTGCTGAATGTCACTGTATATTATCAATTTTCTACGTGCATATAACTTGGTATCTAGATACAATTTTATATTTAAATTTAGCTGCCAGGGTGTGCCTTATCTGTATCCTAGAGTAAACTGATGCTTGAAGAAAAAGGATTTCTGTGAGCTCTGCTCGCTTCTAGTGACATAGTTCATGGTTGAGATGCTTATAAGTCCTGTGATGTAATTGTTTAATAAATAGATTGTTCTATTTAGCATAGATCCACCCCTTTTAAAACATAATGCATTATATAAAGCTGGTTTTCAATGAAATAAACTGCAAGTACATGACATATTTGGTTTTATGCTGAGAAAGAAATCATTTTAGATTATATTGTGATTTTCAAATTGATGTGATATGTTGTCTGCTTGAGTATGATTTTTTGAAATGGTTTTGCGTTGTATAGTTGACATAATATTTTCTTTCAGATTTCTTTACTGGAAGAATGTGGATTGGTTGAAAAGGCTCTTGAGGAGTTGCGCAAGAAGGAACCGAAAATTGTGAGTTCTAATTTAGAACTTGAGTACATGATATATGCATTTCAAATTACAATTACACACTTATCCCCCCACCCAAAATTGTGGGTTCTAATTTAGAACTTGAGTACATGATATATGCATTTCAAATTACAATTACACACTTATCCCCCCATCTTCCCCCCCCCCCCCCCCCTCTCTCCCCACTCCCTTCCCTTGTGTTGAATTCTATAATCCAAAGTTAGTTATACTTACACATGGTGCAATACAGTATGGATATTACATTGTGCTTATACCTTGAAATTGCTCTCTACTTTAGGTTGATAAATTAGCTTACAAGGAGCAGGAGGTTTCTATGCTGGAGAAGCTAGGCCGCTTTGATGAAGGAGAAGATTTATACAGAAAGCTCCTTTTGATGAATCCCGACAATTACAGGTCTAGAATAGTTACATGGTTGACTTAAATATACATAGCTTTTTGTGAAAATTTTGGCATTTGGTGTAATGTTCTCCCTCCATACAAACATTTCTAAATTATTGTTAGCATAGGGTGTTGAAATACATTTAGGGTGTGTTTTTTTGGGTTTGGATTGGGAAGATTTGGTTTGAGTTTTGTATGTAAAAAATGTTCTATGCGATGCTTTGTGAGATGGAAAAATGTATATTTTTTTTTTGGGGAGAAATGTAAAGCCTAAATTCTAAAAAGATGGAAAGAAAAGCTAAAGAAGCACACCCTTGAATTCTTGAAAACCACTACCTTCAAGCTTGATTGTATGTTGTGATTCTTTATATTGGGGGGCATGAAAAATTCATTGTCTTAATTCAAATTCTGTTTGGAGAGTCTAGTTTATGATTTAGTTTTCTGACTTAATCTATTGATTTCGCTCTGCATACTGAATCCTATAAGCAATGTATTCTTAAGTTTATGGTTTTAGAGTGTCAGTCTACTTTGGATCTCTCAGTTGAATAGTACAAGCATTTTGAAATATTTTGTCAAAAAGTTTTCTCACCATGCTCCTTAATATTCGGTGATATTAGGTACTATGAGGGCTTGCAAAGATGCATGAGACTGTATTCAGCCAACGGTCAGTATTCAGCTGATGAAGTTGATCGACTAGAGGCCTTATATCTATCACTTGGGAAGGAGTATAGTCGTTCATCTGCAGTTAAGGTGATACATCTATTTTCCTTAGTCCTCTATCTTGGAATACACAGCTTGTGCTAAAGTTCCCTGTCCATTTTGATTGTTGGGTGGTCTAGCTACCAGATCTGTGATGTTCTTGTGAGTAATGTCAATTCAGAGCATATTTTTGGCAAATCATAATATAATATTGCTTTTGTTCAGTAAGTTATGATGAAGTGTAATGTATTCAAGCACATAAAATTTCATTTGTCTCTGGAACTACGGTTCTATCATTGCAAGTAGAAAGTGTTTTCTCAGTTGCATTTTGTATATTCGAGAATAAGCAATAGTCAACTGCTGCTGCCATTTATCAACACCCGGCCTTTTTTTCTGTAGTTCATAATAATTATAATACTTTTCTCATAAGCTCTATCTTTTCCCTGTCTAAAGCAGAACCCTCTGTGTGCATTGCATGCACAGGGGCAGTTTGTACATATTATAGATGCATGTGTGAGTGCGCCAGTAACCAATTTATTCATTTCCCTCCTAAATGCACCTTTGATCACATATTTTCCGAATCTCCAAATTTGATGCGAACATTATTACTAATATTATTTTGTGAACTTGTATGAATCAGAGAATTCCACTTGATTTTCTGAGTGCTGAAAAATTTCGTCAGGCAGCTGAAAGTTACATTCAACCTTTTCTAAGCAAGGTATATTTACATCTGTGTAATTAGGTTAATGGTTAAACATATTTTGGAGCTGCACTTAACCATTCTTGTGTTGTACATCTAGGGTGTCCCATCTTTATTTTCTGATCTTTCCCCACTCTATGATCATGCCGGAAAGGTATGTTGTTCCTATCTCGTGGTGATAGTAATTCATTGTTATTAAGGATTTTAATATCTTGTTTATTATATTACTAACTATATCCACAACACCTGTGCAGGCAGATATTCTAGAGCAGATAATTCTTGATCTGGAGAGCTCGGTCAAGACAACTGGTGGATATCCGGGAAGGCAATTTTGCTTATCTCTCGCTTATTTGAGCTCCCTTTTTTTGTTTTGTTTTGGTTTTTTGGTTTCAGGTGTAAGGGCTTAAAAAAATGAAAAAAGAGTATTCATTAATGTAAAATGCTGTTGTATACTGGTTTAGGCTATCGGTAATTTAGTCTTTTCTCCTTGAGGGGGTCTTGTCTAGTTGATCTTGTTATGCCGTTTTTTATTGTTGGAATATGATATAGTAAAATTTTCCTTTCTTCATTCGTGTCAAATGCTATTGACTGCTGGTTTAGGTTAGCTATTTAATCTGTTTTTCCTTAAAGAGTGTTTCTTTGTTTTGGTTCATGTTTAGATTCTTCTGTAGTTCAAGTTGGATTGTGTCATATAGTTCTCTATTGTCGGACTATAATAGCCAACAATTACATACAATTTGCATGATTCTCTTGAAAGAAATTCAAAATTCACACAATCTGTGTTCAATTCTTATAAAAATTTCATTTGATGTTTTCTTCAGAGCGGACAAGGAGCCTCCTTCTACTCTCATGTGGATTTTGTTTTATCTGGCTCAGGTCTGTACTTATCCATTGTGCATGTGCTTTCTCCTCGCTATTGTTGCTCGCTTTTGTTCGTGGCTTTACATGTCTACTGAAAAGTTTCTATGTACAGCATTATGACAGACGTGGTCACTATGACGTTGCTCTTAGAAAAATTGACGAGGCCATAGACCATACTCCCACGGTCATTGATTTGTACTCGGTGAAGGTAACTGTCAATTGCTCATGTCATATACTAATAATAAGATGACTATCCATGAAATCTAAGTCACAGAACTTTAAAGAGCTACTTCTGCACAAAATGTTGTTTCCATAATTAAAGCATCATATGGTGCTCGTCCACTGCAGAGCCGGATATTGAAGCATGCTGGAGATCCTGTAGCAGCTGCTGCCTTGGCTGATGAAGCTAGATGTATGGATCTAGCTGATCGTTATGTGAATAGTGAATGTGTTAAACGAATGTTGCAAGCGGATCAGGTTTGATTTTATTATTTTCTTCTCTTTGCTGTTAATTTTCACATCTACTTAAGATTTGTCTTTGACATGTTCTGTTTCCTCAGTATGTGCTGATATTGGATACTTCTATTTTAGGTTTCATTGGCAGAGAAAACGGCCGTGTTGTTCACAAAAGATGGAGAGCAGCACAATAACCTCCATGATATGCAGTGCATGTGGTGTGTATGTTTTTTCATGGTACTAATTGTACACTATCTTCAAAACATAGGCATTTTTTTGAGTCAATTCTGCTGTTAATGATTCTAAGGTATGAACTAGCATCTGGAGAAAGTTACCTACGGCAAGGGGACCTTGGGCGGGCCTTAAAGAAGTTCTTGGCTGTGGAAAAGCATTATGCAGATATTACAGAGGACCAATTTGATTTCCATTCCTACTGCTTAAGAAAAATGACTCTTAGAACTTATGTGGAAATGCTAAAATTTCAAGATCGCCTTCATTCCTATCCTTATTTCCGGAAAGCTGCTGTTGGGGCCATCAAGTAATTCTGCGCACTTTTCTTGTTCTAATCAGTCCTTTTTGTTCGCGTAACCAATGTTGTACTTTCAAAACACACTTTTAAAATATCATCACATTCCAATGGTGTATCTTCCTTTCCTTTAATCTATTTATGGCATTTTACTTTATATGCAGATGTTACTTGAAGCTGTATGATTCTCCGCTGAAGTCTCCTGCTGGAGAAGATGACGAGATGTCTAAGTTGCCTCCTTCACAGAAAAAGAAATTGAGACAAAAACAGAGGAAAGCTGAAGCACGAGCTAAGAAAGTAAACGATTATGCTGCCTCAAGTTTTTTGAAGGCATTTGTCTTAATTATTTTACGGTAAACATATGACTCTTCCAGGAAGCTGAAGTAAAAGAAGAAGCAAATCCTTCTACCCTGTCAAGATCGGGAAAACGCCAAGTAAAGCCTGTAGATCCTGATCCACATGGAGAGAAGCTAGTTCAGGTAACTATAAGCATTTGACGTGTATATATATATACACATTTGAAGTTTTGTTCAAGTTCCTGCTTTGAGGTGGATGCTATCTCCTCTCTGGATAAATCCTACTTCACCTTCTAGAAGTTATATCGGCTTATATTATCTCACATGAAGAGTATTTAATTACAGACCGAAGAACCTTTGGTGGAAGCTACCAAGTACCTGAAGCTACTTCAGAAGCACTCTCCTGATTATTTGGAGACACACTTGCTTTCTTTCGAAGTTAACATGAGAAAGCAGAAAATCTTGCTCGCATTGCAGGTTATTTCTTGTGCTCACTACCCTCGAAGGACTTATTTTTTAAAGTATTATATATTTCTGCAATATTCAGCAATCGTTTTTCATCATCTGTACAATTTCAGAGGCAGATGCAGTTGTACTTCACTGACTAAAACAATTACAATGAAGCAATGACTCTATACCCCATTGGCAAAAATTCATACAAGGACTAATTTCAATCTACACAATTTTGCAATGATTATCTTTAAAAGAATGTTGATTTGGTGACAAAGAATTTTATGTCACTGTTCAGAATGCCTTAATAGTATCTCTCACGTCATACTGTAGCACTCAAATTTGTTTGTTTAATTTGCACAAAATATGTTTCATCTATTTGATACATTGAAGTAACAGCTTAACTTCTTTTGTGTGCTGCAGGCAGTCAAGCATCTGGTACGGTTGGATCATGATAGCCCAGACACGCACCGTTGCTTGGTATGATTAACTTTCTAAGATTTACAGTTATCTAACCAGTGCAATGCGAATCTAAAACATTCTCTAGCCTTTAATATTCACCATGGTTTTGAACCCGATGATAGCATTAGTAAATCATTACACTTTCTTGCAGATAAAATTCTTCCACAAAGTGGGATCCATGCCTGCTCCCGTCACTGATGCTGAAAAACTTGTATGGGGTGTCTTAGAAGCCGAGCGTCCTACAATTAGGTACCTGTATTTAGATATTTGACCTTTACCTCTGTTATCTTTTGCGCATGTTCTTTTTGTTTTTTTCGATGTTCTGGTTTTGTTGTTTTTTTAGGTGAAGTCGTTCTTGGATGTGATATTTTATATAGAAAATGAGTATGTTTGTTGGGAACAAAAATTTGAGAAGAAAAAAGAGAACAGATTCTTTCTTTTTCCTTATCCTCCTTCCTTGGTGTTTATATCACTAGATGTTTGTAGGTAAGATATTTATATATATGTGGGTGTTAATTATTTCTTTACTGTCTATATGTAGTCAGTTGCAGGGGAAGTCGCTGAGTGAGGCGAACGATTCTTTCCTAGAGAAACATAAAGGTTAAAATAAAAATATATGCTGGATTTTGTCTCTACATATGAGTTTGTGATTCTATCCACTCCCGATTCATAATTTGGTGGTCTGTTTCTTGGCAGATTCATTGACGCACAGAGCTGCCGTAGCTGAAATGATGTTTGTTATGGAACCAAACAAAAAGAATGATGCTGTCAAGTTGATTGAAGAATCATCCAACAACCTTGTTTCATTGTATGTATGCTAGATGTGTGTGTGTGTATATGTATATATATGTATATGTGTATATACCTTCTTATTTTCACTAATCATTATACTCAATTGTGTATTACTGCATTTCAACTAAATTTCCTTTCAGAAATAGGAAGCTCAAGGACTGCGTTGCCGTCCACAAACTCTTGAAAACAGTTTTGGATGATCAAGATGCTGCATCTAGTGAGTATTTAAAATACCTGTTTTTTTTGGAGCATAGATACATCAAGAATCGTATATACATCCATATATACATCCAGCAAAACTTTATAATTTTACTATTCTTATTTTAACTAATACTAGTAATCAATTTGTCATTATTTTTTCTACTTACCATATTATATTTTATTAACTTTTTAACAAACTTTCCGTTAATACTTTAATTTTACTTTTTACTTATCGTATTGTTATATATAAAATATTACTACTACCTTTGTCCCATAAGAAAGACACCATTTGCCTTTTGTGTTATTGTATTTAACATTAAAAACATATTTATATGTGTATAATTTACTCCATAAATGAGCCTAATAGAGATATTTTTGTCATTTTTTTTGAAATTGTACTATTTATTGATATAATAATTAATATTCAAATATCTAGACGCAAAAAATCTATGGTACCCTTCTTATGAGACGGAGATGTCCAATAAAAGTAGCATAAACATTCGGGGTGGAAGGATTAATTCATACTGCATTCCATAGACTTATGCTGTTACATATTGTTTATATATGTTGTCACGAAACTCAATCTCGAGAGAGAGAGATGAGGTGAACATATCTTGGCGGACAATAAAAGGGAAACAACACATTATATATATATATATGTATCTATCTGTAAGATGATTGGATTGTATATTCTTGCGCAGGATGGAAAGCACAGTGCGTCGAGCACTTCCCTTACTCAACATACTTCGAAGGCAGCCGTAGCTCAGCAGTTCAAAGTTCATCCCACCAACAGATTTCAGAAAATGGCAGCCCCAGCAGCAATCACTCTGCTTCTAATGGAAACATTGAAAAGCTGAACCCCACCAATCAAACACCTATATGATTTTGGTTTATTTTGCACCGGCTACATCAACGATGTCGTCGTCAACAACAGGTGGAGGAATATGGGGAGGATCTACAACTACCTACATCTCTCTCGTCTCTCTCTCTCTCTCTCTCTATTTCCCTCTGGTATGCCAAATTATGTACACACACATTTGTCTTTCTTTCACCTGGTTTGGTTTCTGGAGTTGTGTAACTTTTTGCTGATTTGTGATCTGAGGAAATGATCTGATCTGATCATCCTACAACAGCCCTCTTCTTGTCACCATAATAGAATTAATTAATTAAGCACCACCATTATGTTGTATTTTTTTTTTTTTTCAAAATTTATTTTTGACAAAGTTAATTAGTTGGAATTTGGGATATCATGTATAAATTGTGGTTTCTTTAACTATATGAAATTTTGTTTTGATCTTCCGATTGTGCTTGATTAATGTCTCCTACTTAGTAAGGCTCTGATATTTTTATTGGGCTTAACTATGAGGCTGAATAACAAAAGGGCCCATTATAGAGGGTTTTCTGTTTTGCTGTCTTTTTTTGGTTTCGTAAAGTTATACAAGGAGAGTGGAAAGAAATAGAATATTTTGTTTGTATTTTAAGAAAAATGTATAAAAATAAAAATATTTTTTTTTTTAGGATTAAAATAAATTTGAATAATTGAGAAAATATATTATAACCCTCCATTATTGTAGCAGGTTTGGTTTGCGTGGAAGACTTTTTAAAATTGAGACCAAAAATAATTAATCAAATACTCAATTTCTTTTTTTTTTTTTATATGAATAATTTTAAATTATTAATATTATTCTAGAATTATTACAAATTAAACTTTATACTGCAAAACTCAAAAAAGAAAAATAGAGTATAAAAACCGACATTCAGTCCCCAAATCCTACGCCACTACCACCACCGCCACCACCGATCCTCCTCCACAATGTCCGCCGCCGTGGAGGCGTACAAGGTGTTCGTAGGGTACGACGAGCGCGAGGACATCGCGTACCAAGTTTGCCGTCATTCCTTGCTGAAGCGCGCGTCGGTCGCAGTAGAGGTGATTCCGATCAAGCAGGCGGAGCTACGGCGGCGCGGACTGTACTGGCGCGAGAGGAACAATCTGGAGAGCACCGAATTCTCCTTCACACGTTTCCTGACGCCGTACCTCTCCGATTTCCGCGGATGGTCGCTCTTCGTCGACTGCGATTTTCTCTACCTCGACGACGTGAAAAGCCTCTTCGACCTCGCCGACGACCGGTACGCGTTGATGTGCGTCCACCACGACTACACGCCGGCGGAGACGACGAAGATGGACGGCGCGGTGCAGAGCGCATATCCGCGCAAAAATTGGTCGTCGATGGTTCTGTACAATTGCGGTCACGCGAAGAACAGAGTGTTGAGTCCGGAGGTCGTGAATGGCGGATCAGGAGCGTATTTGCACAGGTTTCAGTGGCTGGAGGATTCGGAAATTGGGGAAATACCGTACGTGTGGAATTTTTTGGTTGGACATAACAGAATAGTTGGGAATTGGTATCCGAAGGCGGTGCATTACACGCTGGGGGGGCCGTGGTTTGATGAGTGGAAGGATTGTGAGTTTGGGGAGCTATGGTTGGCTGAATTGCAGGATTACGAGGATGAACAGAGGAAGACGAAGACGAAGACGATGAACATTAAGGATGAGAATGTGCAGATTCATAATGTTGCTGTTGCTAAGAGTGAATTGATTGCTGAGACCTGACCGACCTCACCTCACATTACCAGGTTTGATCATTCTGTTGTGCATTTTCTGTGTGTTAATTTGTTTGTTTGTTTCATTGGTTATTATTATTATCCATCTTAGTGTAGTTTGTGTTCTTTCTTTCTTTCTCTCTCTCTCTTCTGTATGTGTGTGTGATTTGAGAGAGAGAGAGAGAGACAGAGAGATTGAGTTTGCATGTGTGTTTTCTACTGCTATTGCTATTGTTTGTTACTGCTTTTCCCTGCAAGTATAAATTCATGATTTGGAATAAGTATTTGTTTTTGTTTTGTAAAAATAATTTGAATTTTTAATGTCAAGTATGAAATAATTTTGTAGAAAATATAAAAAATAATAAATACGTGTGATATATTAATATTTTTTAAAATATATATATATTTAAAAGAACAATATAATAAAAGAAAATTAGCTCACTTGATTCATTTGTTTTTTTTTTTAGAATTTTAGGGTGTGTTTTGTTGCGTGGAATAGTTGAAAGGGATTTTTTTTTTCACGTGAAATATAAAAAATTGAATAAATAATATAAAAATAATAAATATGTGTAATATATTATTTGATTTTAAAAATTTGTATATTTATTTATTTAGATTTAACTTTTACTATTTAATCCGTGCTTATGTGCTATTTTTTTTATTTTTTTACTATTATTTAATTTTTATTATTTTTATATTATTTCAATGTCATAATTCTAAAATCAATTTTTATTTTCTACTAAATTCATTTTATTCTCAATTTTATTTTTTACTATAATTTGTCTCTGCAATTTTATTTTAGATTTTTTTTTTTAGTTATTAGAATTTGTATTATTGGCATATTTATTTTTGTTAAAATTAAATATTTTGTGTGAATAAATAATATATTTATTAATATAATTCTTTTATATTGAAAACCATGAAATTATTATACAAATTGAAAATAAAAACAAATTAAATATGTATTGATATTAGAATATATTGAATGAGTATATAATAGTTTAACTATTGTTACTGCTTTCAAATGACATAATTTTATATAGAAAGGATTGAAAGCATCTATTGAATACGATATAAATATGTATTTAAGATAATAGTATTTTAAATAATTATTTAATTTTAAAAGTAAAAAAATTCTTAGGAATTTCCAAAATTTGTGTTGAAGTATAAAATTCAAAAGTTGCTTCATCTTATAACAACAATGTGCCCAAAATTTGTAAATTTCAAAATAAAAGTTAAAAATATTACTGAATATAGTATATATTTTTGTAAAAAAATTCAATTCACATGTGGCATAGATTTGGGCAAGAATTACAAGTAGCAATTCACCTCTGTTCTATGTTTCGTCATTGTCACAATATTCAATGACGCTGTTAAAGTACTGATCAGACAGACTACCTTAATTTCAATCTCTGTTTCTGTTTGGTTGTAATTTTAATTTGATATCCATACTATTCATTTTTAAAAATACACTATTTTATTTTATAAGTATCGGTATGTCAAAATATATAATTTAAACAAAAATTCAAATAATACATCCTCAAATCAATTAAACAAACAAATAACTTAGATAATTAATAAGATTTAGAATTTACTCAGTATACATTCTCTTAAATGATCTAAATAACCATCTCACCTAAAAGATAAATATCTTAAAGATACGTAAATACATATTATTAATTTATCTATATACGAGAATTCAAACTCAACCTAAAGTTTTGATACACTAGGGAGCTTTTAGGTGAGGTCATCTGACACAATATAGTACAATTATAAAAAAGCACTAGCAACAACAAAACAATAAACACTGTCATTTAAAAAAAAAATAAAATTATTAGACCACCCACCCACACCAAAAACTTTTCTTAAAATCCCACAAGGTCCCAAATTATAAAACCTTCTTAATGAAATTAAACTAGGACATAAATAATACTCCTACATAAACAAAATAGTAATCATAATTCATAGGAAAAAACAAAACAAAAAACAAAAAAAACAAAAAGCAAGACTTGTGTGTGTGAGTCATGAAGATTCTCTAGATTCACAAGAATCATGATCCATGGAGTAGGTGTAAGTAATATCTTATATCTATACCCAACTAGGCCATTACCACAAAAGACACATCATCATATGCATCAACCATACAAGGCCAAGCATTGGGGAATCAGTATTCAATTATGACAATAATTGAGATATTTTTTTTCCTACTAACTGTAGTGTGAAAATTCAGCACTAACTAGCAAATTATTATGGAGTCTCAATCAACAGAGGGGGGCCTAAAAGCACATGTAATAGCAAAGGATATGAAGATTGGAAGCACAGAATCATGAGAATAATAATCTTCACATGTGAATCATCATCATAAAGCTTTAGACAGGAGATGAAACAAAACAGAAAGTGTGTGTGTGTGTGTTTTGTTTCCATTCATGATGAATAATTAAGGTTCTGTTTACTTTGAGATTCCTTTCTAGTTTATTCACTATGCAATCATCACGATTCCTTATAAAAAATGTACTATTTTAATCTCACAAAATATTACATCGAACCACTATTTAAACACAAAAGTAGAGATATGATATGCGCTTCTATGCATGTTAGTTTTATATATGAAAGCCAATTATTCATGAGATACTGAGGCCTATCTTTTTGTTGATTTTAAACAGTTCTATTCAAGGAGTTATAAATCATTCAAATGTTAATTTACATTGTTAAAAAAATAAAAAATTAGACTTACTAGAGAAAGCCTAATTAGCAAGGATGGGGTTTCTGCCTTCATCAATTTCTACCACAAGTAAATGGTTTGGATCTGAACCATTTGGCCCTTCGGCGTAGAGGGTGGGTAGGTACGCCTTGTATGCTGGTAAGTATCTCGAGACAAAATCCAAAACCTGCATTCACCATTCCAGGGCGATCGATATTTAGATCTTATAGGTAGTATCAATTGAACTAAGAGAAGCATGTACGTTTAAAATACTACCTCCTCATCAGACATTCCTGGTTTTCCATCAGCTCTCATGGCAATCTCTGCCTGAACATATATATGTCCATGAAGTTAGTGGGATATGTCGTAGAAAGATCCTAGAAATGGAAGGAGAGATCAGTAAACCTGCAACCGCCACTGGTAGACGCAACTGGGGTCCTGAATCTTGATTACTATCCACGACTTGATAAACTGGTCCCATGCCTGATAATAAGCTTGCAAGTTTTTATTGACAGTCTCCAGCTGAAATATTAAATGTTCGATAGTCAGGCTATGGCAGGTTGTTTGAACATAACAAAATCACAACTTGGAGTAAAGGAAGAAGCTTGTGCATTTCAGATCTCAAAACCTGTGGATCCACCGCTTTCACAACTTCATCTGAAACGGGTTTGAACCCAAGCATCCAACCCTCAAATAGAATAGCCTACGAGCAGTGAAAAGGAGCGATGATGATATTAATCAGTAAATCAAATTTTATCCAATGGGAGATTCAATATAACAAGTGTCATTCTGAACCAAATAGTATTCAGCCGAATTTTGGTTCAAGCCAAGCCAAATGATTGCCATTAAACATGGCATAGATAGCATAAGACATAAAGCAACTTCTTATTTGATCTGATGATCATATAAGGGTGATGATATCTCAGCTATTGTATGTGAGTTTAGATGGGATTGAGCTTCAGGTGGCGGAATTTTGCATGATCGTTAGGATAAGCTCACATTTTCCTAAGAGGAGTTTAGGACAGCATTTTCTTATGGCGAGTCGTTTCTACATGGGTGAGGTTTTGCCAACATTGCTAGGTTATAAAATTCCTCATGTTTCAATTCTCTGAGTATCAACAAGAAACCTGAGAATTATTAAGCTAGGTTCCATTGAAATGTCACGGAGTATTTATGGCATTATATCTTCTATGTTTTCGATTTGGAGGCACCTACCGTCAGGGGGCCCTCAATCTCTGGCCATAGCGAAGGATCAGCTCTATCTCCTCGACCATTATAAGCCGACTGCAAGAGAATTAAATACTATACTATTGAGTTCATATCCCAAACAATGAGAGAACAATGGTATGTACTGTGTGCTTACCTTATTATACCGGGGAAGCTTCATTTTTGTGCCTGCAATTTTTTTTTAAAGAAGAAAACACTGTTAAAATTGATAGAAAGAATGAGGACAGAAAATAATATGATACTTCTACCTTCTTTAGTTAATTTTTTTACAGCTGTCAGTGTTTCAACAGAGAGGCCAAGATCATGGCTACCGGCATTTCCACGATACTGTTTGGTAGTAGGATGTATGTATAAATCAAAGGGAAATTATAATGTAAAAACAAGAAAAAAGAATATTTTTTCAGAGAAAGGGGGTTCGGACTACCTCCAGAAGCGCATTCTCAGGGTTACTCTCTCTCAATTTGGCCTGTATCGTAGATCACATGATCAGATAAAACCATCACAGCACTGTAGTGCAAGACATCATCAATAAATTATTTACCTGATCCTCATATGTCAGATAAAAATCATCGATAGATAGAGTTGCAGTCTTCCTGAAATTAAGTTGTAAGTCTTTAGTGCATTTTGGTTAGTCTTTGTGCCTTACTTTCAACAAATACTATACACGTCGAACTCTACCTCCCAGACTTTTGGAAAAGGAAATCCAGGGCAAAGACCAATGTTGTTTTGCCACAACCTTGAGGTGCACTGAAACCAATCTGAAGAAGGGAATAAATAAACACTACTAAAATTCAAGGTCTGGAGATTAATTCTCTGTCACTTATGGACCTGCAAAGAAACATTTACTTCGAAGAAAAGTACAGGACTTGGATCAGCTTATAATTGCAAACACCATTACAACAATAAAAACTTACAACTAAAGGAGGGACGTCATCCTCGTCTTGGTACTCAGAATTATGATGAGATATTTCCTTTTGACACCACATATAGACTGGTATGTAGTAATGGTAGATTCGGATTTTTTGAGGTTCAGTAAGGAACAGTTCGTTCAGCTGAAACAATCGGCAGAGATGTGACCCGCATACTACCCACTCATCAATGGATTCTGCTACATTTTCTGAGGTTAGGCCTATTTTATCCAGAAGAGGACCTTCACATATAAAATCATAAAGGTCCTTCACAGCGTCCACTTGTGCCGCTTCTGTGGGAAACACTGAATGCAATGGACCTTCCCTCTTTTCGTGAACAACCTTTTTAATCGTTGAAGAGTTGTTTCTCATCCATGAGTGTCCATTGCCTGCATAGAAAATATATCATAGTTACCAGTAAGAGACTAACCTGTTTTACCAAATAATCACTTCCCACGGGAAAGGCATATCTTTATTTTATGATACAAAGAAATAACTGGAGAAAAACATAGATTACATAGTTTGATTCAGATGTAAATGAATTTCTAGAACCCATACAACTAGTTTGTTTTGATCTTAAATAAAACTATGCATTAGTAGCAGAAGAATTGCTCGAACAGAAGCTTGAAGACGTTTTGTTATCGTCTAATAACATAATTTCACATGCTCCTGCAAATAAACTTATAAATCCACTAGATAACTTCTGTCGTGCAAATTGAAATTTTTGGGGTCAATCCAAACTCAATAACTAAAATAAATCGATGTCTGTCAGCACAATGGGTACAATGGATATGTAAAGAATGAATTAAAGAAGAATTAGTTTATTATCTGACTATTAGTTGGATGATCAGATTAGCTATAGAGACTATAAGCATGCCTACAGCAAGATGCATATTTGAAGATTGCTGCTGGTAAAATGAAATTATGCCTCAGCGTGTACAATCAAACATTTCTTAGCTGTTCCAGAATCACTCTAAAGATTTCTTCTAATGGCACCTTTACTTCCATCGTTATCATGAAAGGGTGTATTAAGAACTATGAACTTGTGGAAGCGAACATAATCAATGAAAAACCAACACAAATGCACTAGAATTTGCTTAACACAAGTAACATACAAACGAATAATAGATAACTTAACAAAACCATAAGTTTCGCATATTCATACTTTTTCTTCTGATTCATTTCATCTTAAGTTAATCACATCCAGAGATAGATTTTGTGCAAATCGAGCACAAAACACCAGTTCGCAGATCATTCGTTACCAAAATAAGAAAGCAGAGCAGAAAAAAGAGAAAACTAAGCCCTAGAACAATAACATTCAATCCAAAATTTCAATAATTTCGAACGATTATCCAATCCAAACACATCCGTCCACAAAAATAGCATCAAGCAAAGACCACAACAGCCTCAGTAAATTACCCGATGGGTCTGAGGAACCGGTCGCCATCTCCGACTGCATTCTGCACACTCGCGATTTAGTTCCTCCCGATTTCCCCTTGGAAACAGCCGAAATTGTTGAAAATTGAATACATTGGGAAACACTCCGCGGCAGACAGCACCAGTCCGCGCAACCATTATTTAAATAGCTGGAAACGGTCAGCGAGGAGAGCGGTGACGTCATCAGTAAGGGCTTGTTTGGCGGGGGCACTACAGTCAGCACCGCCATTGTTATCGCCTCTGGAATTGCGGGAGCTTCCCGATTCTGCGTTTTGTGATAAATCTGATCATGAATTCCATGGGAATGGCTCAGAATCCATTTCCGGTGCATGCCACGTTGGAAAACATGAAATTACTCATATGTCCTTCTTCACAGTGTTTATTAACGTTCATAACAACTACACCCTCCGTTACAAAACTATATTATTATTTATTTTATTTTATTTTATTTTATTTTTTCTTGTGAGTATATTAGCGTACAAAATTGTGACGACAATAATAATAAAAAAATAAAAAAAATTTTACTATTATTTTAAAAAAACAAAAATAGTAAATATGACTATTGTATTGGAACGAATATAATATAATTCTATAAATATTCTACTTATAAACTATTTTAATTTTTTTTTTCATATGATATAAATTAATATTATATAATTAATTGTGATATAAAATAAAAATATTCCAAAAAATATAAGGGTGTGTTTGTTTGGAGGTTTGGATTTTGAGTTGGGATTTGAATAGTAAAAATTTTAAATTTGAATAATGATATAAATAAGTGTTGATGTGATGTTTTGAATGTAAAATTAATTTTTAGTATAATATAAAAAATAAAAATAAGTGTTTGATTTGATATTTTAAAAAAAAAAAAATAAAATGAATAGTGAATTAAAAATACAATCCCCAAACAAACACACCATAATGAAAACTATAAATTTGTGAGAGAAATAATCATAATTTAACAAATTACTTTTACTATTGGTGACCCAAATCAAAACCGGGCTAGAAACAAATGACCCACAACTGGAGAGCCCGACCCATTTATCCAGACCGGATTCATACTTTCAATTTTTGATTTATTTTTGCAGGGGCAAAAATGGAAATACGGATGATCTCATCTCCCAACGGTCAAGTCGAGATATGGAAAGCGGAGGCTGCAGAGCAGCCATGGCCACACCTTTCTCCCCTCTAGCCCTCTCCCCAATTCCAAACCCTAAATTAGGGTTTTCTAAGCTCTCATTTGCCCCAAATCTCAAATCTCCAATCGGAAAACCCTCCCGTTCCAATTTCCCTAATTCGATAAACCCTAGACGCACCGCGATCTGGAGGAGATTCTCTTCAGCCAGTTCCCAATTCCTGCTCGCGGAAGCAACCTCAATCGACGAATCGGCGGAGATAGTTCCGCCGAGCGCTGACGTATCTTCGACGATCATATCAGGCCTTCTCTTCATCGCCTTTATCGGATTGTCCATTCTCACCGTCGGAGTCATCTACATAGCCGTTACGGACTTTCTGCAGAAGCGGGAGAAAGATAGATTCGAGAAGGAAGAGGCGGCGGCAAATCGGAAGAAGAAACGTGGCAGAAAGGGAGTTGGTGCGAGCAGAACCAGAGGTGGACCTAGAGGCTTCGGCCAGAAGCTTGCTGAAGACGAGGAAGACGATAATGGCGCCAAGAAAGCTCCGTAACTGTAATTTGATATCTCTCCAGGTACTCTGATTTCATTGTACTTTTTCTTTTATTCTTTCTTATTGCTTCATTTCTTCTTCAAGTAGTTCAATCATTCAATTCCTTATCGCAATTGGCAGAAGTCTCTGAATTTCCATGAACATAAGTAGTTCTTAACGAAGATACACAATTCACAAACAGAGAAATCCGAGCAATGAACATAATGTAGGTAGAAATTACAGTACAGTAGATAAATTCTCAAATTCGAATTCAAGTAGCTAATTAACTCCACAATAATCCTTGAGAGCATTAGGCGAAGCCTGTCCGGCTTTGGTGTAGTAAAATTCGAGAAACTTGACATGATCGTAGGGTTTGAACAGCAAGGGATGTTCGTCATCGATCATCTCTTCCGGGGCTTTGATTATGTACCCCTTTTTCGGGACTGAAAATAATCCGATGGAGTATCTTGCCTCGTCTCCCGTCATCATTACCCGATGATGCGGAGCGTGTAGCCTTCCATTTGTCCATGCCTACATATATAGTTTCGAAAAAAATCTTCATTCTATACAGCGAATCGCATATGGTGCGTGAGCGCGCATATGTGTGTATATTTTAGTGTAATGCCTCGATTTCAAAACGTATAAAATAATATTATTATAACAAATAAATATTTTTATAATGCTCACTCGGAGGGACTCTCCGATCATGACGATGAATGAGTTCGTCGAGGGATCTGCCGGGAACCACTGCCCATCTTTCGACAGCAGTTCTAATCCCAGCACTTCGTTGGGATAGAGTATGGTGACGATGTTCTTGTCCGTGTGGGATGTCAGCCCAAGCTTAGTCTCGGGGCTTTGAGGCCCGGCGTACTTTTGTACGCGGACAAGATAATCTGCCGAGTTTAAGTGCTCGTCCGTGTACTTCTCCAGCCCGAGGCTCTCGATGACCATTCTCCTTACTTCCTTGTCCAATTCGGACAGTTGCTCCGAGAATGATCGCATGCTCTCGCTGCCGATATAGTTTGTCCAAATTCAGACGACAAATGATATAACGGTAAACAACACACAATTTTTGTTAACATAATATAAATATAGTACATGAATCAGTTAATGTGCTGATTTGTCTCGATCAGCACCTTAACATTTTCTGTGTTAAATAGAATTACAATTTGTTTATGTGATTAAGCGAACTCGAGCTCGAACTTTGTATATAAACTCGAGCCGAGTCTGAAAATGAGATTACTCGATTCAGCTCGAGTAACAACTCTCGTTCTGTTTTTCCAACACTATTTCTCAATTGCCATTTCTCAAAAATAATAATAAACAACACAAATCTTTTTTTACAAAAGTCAAAAAGTCAAAAAAATTTCAAATACTAATTTCAAGAAGTCAAATATTCAAGTTAAAATAATACTCTCTCCGTCTCTTAACAAACTATCTATTTTTCTATTTTGATTCGTGTCATGACAAAGTATTCATTTATATTTTTAGTAACTATACTATCTCCCTAATATTACAAATATATTTTCAAATTAAAATATATAATACAAATGTCATTATTTTTATATCATGCAATATTAATAAACTAATAAGGTTAGTTTAGTCTTTTTATCTTTATTTTTACTACAACTCCGTGGAGAAGACAAACGAATAGATAGATATGAGACGAAATGAGTAGATTTTATACTTTTGACACAATTTTTCATGCTACACACAAAAAATCAACTCACTAAAAAACGCTGCGTGAACAGAGCCTCTGTCTCAAACAAATCGCTATATACACATATACCTGAATTCGGGATGGCCTTCGGGCCATAAAAGGTTTGTAAAGTTTTTGATGCCGTTGGGTGCGAGGGCGTCGGGGATTCCCAAGCTCTCGTACAGCGGGACCATCGCATATTGTCCTACGTAGCCATGGTAAGGCTTGTCGGACCTGTTGCGTAGCTTTACCGGCAACGGGAGATCGAAGAGCTGCTTTGTCCCATCCAGCGCAGCTCGCCGGAGATCGTCGGGAACTCGGTCGAACACCGCCTCGAAGCAACCGTATTCTTCGAGGGCTGCCCGGACAAGGGCTCCGGTGGTCGGATCATTTTCTTGCCCGCCGGAAAATTTTATTACGGGTAGCCGGTGGCTGGCTGTGTATGTACCCATCTTCTCTTTTTGGTTTTAGTTACAATTCATTTACACCTATTTGTTTGTCCTTTTATAGTTTTTTTTTTATTGTTTTTAATAAAAATATACTGTATTTATTTGAAAATAGTACGAATTTAAATTTAAAAATACCAAAAGAATATATTAATTATATTTATTTTTTGATATATATTCTCGACAATGTTTATACTAATAAATTTTGTTTTACGTTCTCAAATATATATATATATATATTTTTTCATTTTAATTTATTTTCGTTTTTTTTAAAGTAAAATATTTTTTTTTACTTACCTTAAAAAAAATATTTTTATTTTTACTTTCTTTCTTAAAACGTGATTTTGACAACGGGGGAGTATTAATTTTTAAATATATATATATTTCATCTATAGTAAATATTTTTTTCTATTTATAATTTTATTAATTTTGTTTTATCAAATAATATAATTAATTTGTCATTAAGATTTTTACTTTAACTTACTAGTTTTGTATTAATTCTTTAATAACATTTTCATAATGCCCAACTTCACATTTTATCTATTTCTATATTAAAATATTATTATTTTTTAATTATTTTTTATCTAATCAAACAAACATAAAAATCCCAAACGGTGGGAGTATTTAAAAATTTATATTAGACATAGTAATAACTTGGGACTTCGCTGCAGCTATTCAACGAGCTTGTTATCGGTAAATTTTCGATCTAATTTAATATCCTACAAAATAGATCTGATAAGGTAAGTTACATTAGGCGAACCATGTGTGACAGATGAACGCGAAAATATAGAGGATTTAAACTCATGATCTCACGGTCACAAGTTCAGCTTACACTAGACCATCCCTTGCGGGGCTTTTTAATATAGTACTTTTGTCCCATAAGAAAGGGGTGTTGGTTTTTGTGTGTAAATATTTGAATATGAATTACTAATACAAATTAAATAAAAATCACAAAAATATTTTATTAGTATCTTATAATACAAGTACAATTATATCTGTAAAATAAATTATAAAATTATAAGATATTTTTATATGTTAAATATAATAATGTAAATAACTAGCTACATCTTTCTTGTGAAACGGAGATAGTATAATAAATTGTTAAATTGTATTTTTAATGATATTTTAAATATAAATTAATTCTTAATAATAATAATAATAATAACTATATTTTAATTTATACTTCTTATGAGTTTGTTTGGTTTAGTTTGAAATTGATTTGAAATAAAGTGTTGATTTAAATTTATATTTTTTTAATAATATTTTAAATATAAATTAATTTTTAATATAAAAAAAAACTATATTTTAATTTATACTTGTTATGAGTTTGTTTGTTGATTTGAAATGAAGTGTTGATTTAAGTTTTTGTTTGAATAGTAGTTTATTGTGATGTTATATGAAAATAAATAATTTATTTTTAATAAAGTAGAAATCACAAATATCTCACAATTTAAAGTAAAAATTATACTCCCTTAGTTCGATATCTATATATCCATTTGTTTTTTGTCCGGAGGATAAAGTAGAAATAAATGTAAAAGGACTAAATTAATCCTATTAGTATTGTATAATATAAATGTAATGCCATTTATGTAATATATTGTAAATTGAAAGGGTATTTGTAATGTTAGGTAGATAGTGCAATTACTTAAAAAAAAATGAATACTTTATTATGATACGGACCAAAATAAAAAAATGGATAAATTATTAAGGGACAGAAGAGTACGTAATAAATAGAATTAATTTTGATTTGAAATATTAGAAAAATAAACCGTGTATCTTTTTAAATTTGAAAGTATGAATGAATATTAGGACTTGAATTAGAAACCAACAAATCAACACAACCCTATTTTTATTATTCTATCAACTAACTGTATGGGAATTTATTGTAAATTATTGAAGATTTTAGTGGCAAATATACAATAAATATTTGGATATGTGGAAGAAATATATTTTAATTAGCAATTGGCACAAGCATCCAATTTTGACACATGCAGCTAGAGGTGGCAATGGGTCGGTTCGGATTAAATATTTTAAATAGGTTAAACAATACAATTATAATCTGATTCGTTTATTATTGTGTCGGTTATATAATTAAGTTAAAATTCTTAATTTAAATTCAATTATTTTATGTCATGTTGTCGTGTTATGTTAGTTTTTGTTGGTTCTAGTGTAATGTGCACAATAAATTAAGTTGAATTATTTAAAATTGAATTTAATTTAAATTAATATTGTTGGAGTGCAAACTGAAGTCCCACGTTGGAAGTTGGAAGAAAATTTCATACCTTATAAGTCCCAAGTGAACACTATTAGTACGAGGCTTTTTGGAGGAAGTCCAAAAACAAATCCGTGCAGACTAAGCCCAAAACGGACAATACGTAAACTAATTATCAAATTATAATTACTATATATATATAATAAATATATTAATTAATATTAATATTGTCGTGTTGGATTCGAGTTCAAAGTCTCAATTCTAACCTGATCCATTTATTATCGTGACGATTTCGTATCAATCTGTATGTATAATTGAGTTGAAACTTTTTTTAGCAAAAGTTCAATTATTTTGTATTGAATTTGCATCGAATTGTCATATCGTATGAATTTTTGCCACCTCTGCATGTAGTTGTTTAACAAATTTGTAATTATTGAACTGGTGTGGCTCATTATTAATTAATTAATTAATTAATTTTGTTCTGCATGAAAACAGCCAAACATGCAACACCATTCTTCACCAGTTGTGAAAATTGTATTATTATTATTATTATTATTATTATTAGGGTTGACAGAGACAATAATTATAATTGCGGATGGGATAATTATAAATATTTTTATTTCCTCGATGATTGAGTTATAACATTAAAGAATACACAAAAAAACATGAAAGGGTATTTGGATGATTTTGGATATTTTAGGGCATGATTGGATGATTTTTTTATATAGTTTTGGATTTTTGAGGTTTGTTTTTTTTTTTTGATTTTTTTTAAAAAAATAAGATAGATAATACAAACAATTCAATTAATGTATTATTAGTTCATCAACTTTAAAGAAAGTGAAATTAATCAATTATATTGTCTGCATTCTTTTTTTTATTTTTTATTATTATTATTATTATTATTATTATTATTATTACTGTTGTACATAGTTTGAATGGTAGTAGTTTTTGGACGTTTTATCATTATATACTTTTGCTTGGAATATTTTCTAAATTAATAAAAATAAGTTGTAAAAGTTGTAGAATATCTTAAATTTACGAATAATATAAAAATATTTAAAATTAGAACATAAAAAGTTGTGTTCTTAGTGTTTATGAATTTTTAGTATTTTTGTTATCAGTTATTTAAAACAAAATATTATTAAAATATATTATTTTATAAAAAAATAATACTTTTATGAGTAACTATACCTATTAGGAATAATGGAAAAAGAAAAGTACATATACTTGTCTCTCTAAAATTATAGGTATTTTGTTATGTTTTAGGGCATTAGATTTTTTAACTTTCTTTAAAAATAAATTTTGGATATAATATTAAAAAATTACAATATTTGATATAATATTTTCAAGAACAAAAAGTTTCACAGTATGTTATATAATATAAAAATAAATTATATTTTTTATGGTTATTTTAATTGTATATCACAATACATAACAAGATAGTTTATTCTTTATGGATACTTCGAATTCGAAAGAAAAGAAAAATATGTTCTTTGATATTATATGTTTCTAATTTTTAATTTGAATAGTTATTTATATGCAATATTTTATTGTAGAATATGATAAATATTTTTAAGAGAATAACGATGATTATATATTTGTTTTTATTTCAAACCCAGAAAAGTACTATTTAATTTGTGGAATTTTTAATAAAATTTATTATTGTTTTTAGAAAATATTAAATTAAAATATTATTTAAATTTAAATAAAGTATTCAAATTTAAAATCAAAATAAAAACTGCCATGAGTAATAACACAGTAAAGTAACTGAAAAAAAAAATAAAAAATCAAAAGTAAATAGAATTATAGTACACATATTTTACCATATTATGCTGAGATACTAAAATTACATGAAATAAAAATAAAAAGCAAATACAGTTATAGTACATATATATTCTTTTATGACGGGAAATCGCAGTTATTATTGTTTGAATGTGTTACGGGTAAATTCTCAATCGATCTTAATAACCTTCAAATTATGTTCGACAAGATAAATCACACTAGATAAAATATGTGTGGCAAACAAGTCACATATATTTTAAAACATATTATTACGCGACGTACTAAAATTACATGAAATAACAACATACATTGATCATGCCATATATATATATATCACAAATGAAGTAGGAACCTTAAACACCACAAAAAGCCCTAATCGGACACTTGGATTTCTTTCCTTCTTCAGTGTAATAAAAATGGATTAATTCGAAGTTGTCGAAGGGCTTGAACTGCAACGGATGATCGGCATCGATCAGCTCCTCCGGCACGTGTATTTTCACGTCCTTTATGAACGTAAAGAACCCGAGCGAATATCGCTCTTCGCTACCTCTCATTATCACTCTATGACAACAAGACTCTATTCGACCGTTGCTCCATCCCTACATCGACCAACAAAAATATCAAAATAATAATAATAATAATAATAATAATAATAATAATAATCCCTTTGTTCAAATATTCATTTATCCTTCAAATTTTTAAATCGAATATATATATATACTTAGTTTGACATTAATTATATATAATCCCTTTGTGTATATATATATATACTTAGTATTTGAACGAATAAAATTAACAAGATATATATATTTGTTTAGTCTTGGTTTAAAATTGAATAGAAATAAAGAGTTAAATTTGAATTTTTGTTTAAATAGTATTTTGATATGATATTTGTGAAAAAAAAATTTATATTTTTATTGAAAACTGTATAAAATGAATAATATTGATTTGAAACAAAAAAAAAACATATACAATATTTTTAAGTGGATCGAAGGAGTATTGCTAAAAAAAAAATTCCATAAAATGCTTAATATTGTACAGATAGCAACAAATAAACAAAAATTTAAGATAATTAAAAGTTCGATCGAGCAAATTAAGACAAGACATACCATAATTGCATCCCCGGCCATGACAACAAATGTCGAAGGTGAGCCAGGGTCAACTCCTATCCATTCCCCGTCTTTTGTCCTAACTTCCAACCCCTTGACTTGTCTTTGATGAAGAATCGACAAGAAGCTCTTGTCGGTGTGAGGAATGATCCCTATCTCGTCCTCTTCCTTGTCCCTGGGCGCCAAATATTTGATAAACCGGAGAAGGTAATACGTCGCCCCTTTCAATGTTTTGTAGCTTTCCTCGACTCCATATTTATCGGCCAACATTCTCATCACCACTTGATCGAGCGGCACCATCGCCCTCGAGAATTTTAAAGCTGCCTCACTACATATAATAGAATAATTTCTATTGTAAATGATCTCATCCAAAAGTTTGATTAATTAATAATAAGAATAATGATAAAATATTTTTGGTTTTTTGTGTTTCTAGATCTGGTTTCACATAATTCATTTTACAATAAAGATTTTCCGCCCTAAAACTATACTAAAAAAAAAAAATCAAATTCAAGACAACGTAACATTTAGAAATTTTTATACTATTTATCCATAATTAAGTTGTTTTTACTATTCTAGTTCTTTTTTTTAAAAAAAATAATAATCAAATCAAACAATTATTTTTCTTTTTTATATTATACTACAAAACTATTATACATTCGAAATATCAAATAAATATTTATTTATATCACATCAAACTACTATTCAAATTCAACTTTTTACTATTAAGGAATCCAAATTCAAAAAGTCAAACCCACAAACAAACACACCGTAACCTTTTTAACAATATCACATCAAATATTTAATTTTTTACTATTTTAAAAATTTTCCAAAACTTGTAAAAATTAACAAGAGTTATAGCACACGTACTAAAAAAAACTTTCGGGGCGAATTTATTACCCAAAATGGTCATTTCCGGAAGGCCATAGGAGATCGATGAACTTCTTAACATCTTGATGATTCGTTGGATTCTCGATCCCCAAAGCCTCGTAGAGAGGGACAACGGGAATTTGCCCGACATATCCATGAGAGGGTGTCGGCAAAACGTTGAGGGTTTTTACATGAGTCGGGAGACTGAATAATTCTTCAGAGGCGTGAAATATAGCAGAATGCACTTTCGATGAGAAATTAGATAAGTTTGCAAGAAAGCATCCGTATTGCTCTAGGGCGGCCACCACGGCTTCGGCTGTCGATGACCATGCCGGTGAGCCCGGACCGGAATTCTCTCCGGGAATTTCGATCGTTGGAAGAGTGGCCGCCGGAGCTGTCAAAGAACCCATGATTAGAAGAACTTGGCCTTTGAAATTAACAATAGTGACACATAAGACTTATTTGTGCACTATGTAATATGATAAAAACTTAGGTCATCTTTCTCTATTTTTAGGGTGTTTGTTTAGACAAATATTTTTGGAATTTTAAAAATTTTACTTGTGAGAGAAAATAAATATTTACTTTTTGTCATATTTTTTTAGAAAAAAATTTCATTATCGATGAACAATATTAAAATTTTAAAAAAAAGTAGTTTTACATTTTGAAATATTTTATGAACAATATGATCTTGATTTAATATTTCGGATGAAGATAATGATTGGGTTGGTAACATTTTTATATGAAATAAAATTTTAATATTGCATTTCTAAGATAATATATGATTGAAAGATACATTTTAACAAATATGTTTTGTTATTAATATATATATATATCATGAATTATAACATCAATTTTACTTTTTAATTATATATAAAGAAAGTTGAGGCTATTACATTGGAATTTGATTTTAAGTTTTTATTACATAATTATAGCGATTTTAACAAAATATTATATTTAAATTATTATTAAAAAATAAACTAAAAAAAACACTAACATTAAAAAAAAATTATATACACCCAAAAATATAAAGTCAACTGACTTTTAGTAATATTTTGGAGCTCGACTAACTATATTAGATGGGACACATAATAACATAGACAATAACGTTAGTAATACAATTAATATATTAAATTGTATCAATTTGTTGAAATGTAAAGATTTTATCTAACCAACACATTTTTATTTATTTGATATTATTTATTTTTTAAAAAACATCATATCAACTACAAATTTTTTCTCATAAAACATCAAATTAAATATTAAATTTTTACTTAGTTCAAACTTTTAAATTTCAAAAAACCTCCAAAAACATCTTAATCAACCTTTCAAGCTAAAATAGAGTAAAATTAGTAGTTACATGATATATTAGATTTTTGGGGGCCGCGAACACGAACAACTATCATGTGCAATTTTTGTGCTTTAATCCTATTTCTTCTCTTAGTCTTCTGTTGTAATGTTCGTTCTAAGAATACAATATTTTGTCTTATAAAATATCATATTAATATGCAATATTTTGTCTTATAAAATATTATATTAATATCAGTATTATTTAAATAAAAATCAAATCAAACTCTAACAGAATGCATTATATAAAATATGTGTTTTTTGTTATATATATCACTTTTTAAAATATAAATTCAATGTTCATTCCTTATTTATATATATATATATATATCACATCCGATAATATTATATATATATATATATATATTTTTATCGAATTAAAAAATGCTCAACGAAAACTTAAAATAGATTCCATAATTGAATTCATAGGGATATAAATTGAAAATATATAGAGTAAAATATAGAAATAATTCTATCAAAGTGATGACATTTAATTAACGACAACAATATATCTTGTTTGTAATTTATTATTTGATTAGGTGAGTGGTCCAACAATTCATAATTGAAAATCTTAATTATCTTTATAATGACATTTTCGTCTATAATTATCAATGTTATCATGTAATTTTAGATAAATGTATTTTTTATTTTTATTTTTTTTTTTATAAGACGACATCAGCCCAATAAATTGACATGATATTTAAAAAAATCAAATTAAATCACAATATGATGTAGAATTAAAAATACCATCGTACAAAATTAAATAATAAAATACATAATAAAAAATCAAGAAATTATCATTTATTCCAATTAACTTTAATTGGGCTATACTATGATATTGTTAGTCCCAAAAAAACCCCAACTCTAAAAATTCAACTATGGAACATATTTTATGCATAATTAAAAAAGAAAAAAAAAGAATTAGGGCCTTATATATATTACTATATTTTTAAAATATATAATAATTTTACATACAAAATATTTCATCTAATAATTATTTTTTTCTAAAAAAATAATAACCCGAGTATATTTAATTTGTGTCTGAAACACAAATTAACACTATTCAGCTATTTTTTACAAAAATATACTCCTTCCGTCCCATAACAATGTATTCATTTTTCCATTTTAATCCGTCCATAACAAAGTATCAATTTTCTTTTTTAGTAACTGTACTATCTACCTAACATCATAAATACCAATATATTACACAAATGTCATTACCTTTATATCACACATACTAATAAGATTATTTTAGTCGTTTCTACTTTATTCCTACTATATACCAATATAATATTAATATTTCTAAAACTAAGCAAAAAAAAGAATATTATTTTATCTTATAAAAGATCACATCAAAATATTATTTAAATAATAGTGATTTATAAATAAAAAAGAAAAGAAGGAAATCATACTTTCAAATAAAAACCACACAAACCCTTAGATTATTTTTTGTTAAATATATGTACATTTTAAAAAAATAATACTAATAATAACACTGATTAATGTGATGTATAACACTAAAAAATTAAATATAAAATCAAAAAAATTTGTATAATGTATGCAACGATTTTTACTTATAGTTTTACATGGTTACGTTGTTCTTGCAAATTGCACATTTTTTATTTTTATTTTTAAATGTATATTTTTAGTCATGTAGGTAAACTTCATTATTATCATCTGTCTTTTATATAAAATATGTTTAATATTAGAACAATAGCTACTTAAATTTATTTTTTTCTAAATGTTTTATATTTAATATACTTACGATACTATATATATTAAATTATTAAAATTATAAATTTCATCAACATGCTATTGAATAACATTAAAAGTTGTTTCATATAGAAGGGGACCATAGGTGTCCAATGTCATGTAGTATTATTTGTTATTTTTAAAATTTTGATATTGATTAACATTTAGGTGATTCGATTATTATTATTATTTTTTTTGTAATTATACAACTCGCGACAAAAGTATAATGTTCATATAGATATATGAATATCTTTGAATATAACACATATTTGGTCCCCGCGTATATGTATGATGATTTTGACGAACCACATTTCAGTTCATAGTCGATCAAATTATTAATGAAGGTACAATAATGATAATTTTATAAGAAATTAGTTAATGTTTATTTGTAGTTTGATTTCAATTTCTTCGCAATGTAATCCTTACCATTTTCTGTAAGTATACATTATTTTATTTTGTAAAATATTACATCTAAATTATTAATTAAATTAAACAAAATCGTAAACCCAAACAAAAAACCAAACTCCTATCGTATGTCTAGATTAGCATTTGTGTTTGAGCAATCAAAAAATATTAAAGTGAATTATTAATATACAAGAAATAAAAAATATCTAAATGAATTTTCAAATATGAGAAAAATAAAATAATAATAAAGTTCTACAAATAAATAAAATTCATTCATAAATTTCAACTTTTCATGTATAGGTCGTTTTACATGCATTCATATTATATATTTTTTCGTCATCGAAAATTATGCACGTATAGTTCGATACGAGTTTTAATAAAAGTATGTAAAAATAATTATTATATATATATTTTTTTTATAGTAAATATCTCCTCAAACTACTAATATTGGTTTGTTTACTTTTTGATGTACTTTTCTAAATGTTATAATTTTGATATTATTTTTCTTACTTTTTAGGTTGTATATTTTTTAATAATTTATTTTTTTAAAAAAAAAAGATTAAAAAAACTGCGAGAAAAAGTTCGCACAAGATAAATATTCCAATTTTACGGTAATATTAAGAAATAAGTGTTTGGCTATAAGTTTTTAACATCTCTGTACTGCAATTTTCTAGCTATGAATCCAATGTTGATATAATATATCTTAAAAATATAAGAAATATAATAAATTTATATGTGACTAACCAATTTAATATCACGATATTTTTTATATAAAAAAAATAGTAATAATTTGTACACACTCTTTTTCAGTTGAGGTATTATATATATATATTACCTTTATTTATTAATTTGATGTGACTACATTAATATAAACAAATACTATAAGTTTGTAATGTAAAATTAGTTTATACTTTATAAAAAATAATAATAAATATTTTGTATTTGAATGATTGAAAATGACAAAATCGATACATTTGGAACAAACGAGGAAGTAGTAAATAATGAAATATCTAATTTGTGTTCAACAACCTTTAATCATACATTCAACAACATTATTAGCATTATACAATACAAAGAATGAATTAATACATATTTCATACATATATATATCAATCATGTATTAATATTTTACAAACTACGGAATTATATGGATCATTACAAACCATAGATGAACAAATTCATAACATGCCACTATTACACTTGCAAGATAGATTATTACATATGAAAATAACGCTCCAAAATGAGATTATAATAGACGGAACACACATTACATTTTACATTAATTCATATAGTTATTAAAAGTATATTAAGTTGTGCTGATTTCGGTGCCACAAAAATCTCTGAGTATATTTTCGGTCTTTCGTTTAGGATCGACGGCGTAGAAATGAAGTAAGTCGTTGTGTCGAAACGGTTTAAATTGTAACGGGTGTTCATCATCGACTAGCTCTTCGGGCACTTGAACCATTTTGCTAAGGAAAGAAAACAAAGCCATAGTGTATCTCGTGTCCTTTTTATTTTCTGATAAAGTCACTCTATGAATCGCAGAAAGCACTTTATTGTTACTCCACGCCTAAATCAAATTCAATATTTCAATGTTACAATGGTTATATTTTATTTTAATGTCTCATTTTTTTAAAAAAGAATTGAATATAGATCAAATAAATTTAACGATTACCTGACAAGCATCGCCGGCCATGACAACAAAAGACGATGGTGGGAAAACAACATTAATCCATTCACCATCCCGTGTCTGAACTTCGAGCCCTGAAATATGGTTCTGATAAAGTATAGTTATAAAACTCTTGTCTGAATGAGGCGGAAAAGCCATTGCACTTTCTCCCTCTTGAGGTGCCCGATACTTCAAATATCGAAGAAGATATGTCGTCGATTCAATATGCGACTCGGCGTGCTTCTCGATGCCATAACTCTCGAATAGAATACGAATCACAATTTTTTCTAGCTCTGCCACCACTTTAGCAAACGACAACGATGTCTCGCTACAAAAATGACTTGTAATAAATATTAAGAAACTTTTACATCTAATTAAAATATGTTGTAATTACTATAATGAACGAATTGTTGACAATACATGATACAACAACTTACAAAACATAATTTATTTTAACATAATACGAATACATACAGTACATGAACACATAACAATTATCCACACAAAATATACTACAATTGATTTCAATACATAAAATATATTCATATAACACATTCTATAAGTATGAAGTGTCAACCTATGGTTTCAATTAGTACAACGTATATTGTATTAATTGAAATTGTGTACTAATTATCTATTTTTCGTGTGTTGATGGAGTCAAATTAATTTTCCCATTAATGAATAATTTTCACTTTAGCAATATAAATTCAATTAGCCAAAGGTTGAATCTAAATAAAAATTTTAAAATCTTAAAAATAGAAAGAAAAAAAAATATAGTACTTAATATCAATATATAGTACTCAGAAATTTAAAAATATTTATACAAACAGAGCCTAAAAATATCTTAAAATATAAGTCAAACACACCGTAGAGTCGTAGCTATTTTCAACAAATTCAAAGTAAGAAATGAATAAATACATCGATAATATGTGCGTACCAAAACGAAGTATTCCCATTTGGCCACATGATATTGGTGAAGCTTTCGACACCTTCAAGGGTAGTCGCATAGTCGATACCAAGACCTTCGTGGAGGGGCACAATGGGAATTTGACCAACGTATCCATGGAAGGGCTTTTCATTTATATTCTTTATTTTACTTTCGGTAGGGAGAGCGAACAATTCATCGGCTTGTCCAAAGATAGATTCATGAAGCATATCCGATAGTTTGTCGTAGGTTGCAATAAAAAAACCATGGTTTTCGAGGGCTTCCCGGATGTTTTTACTTGCGGATAACCACGATTTCGACCCGGGCTTCATATCATCTTTCGTAAAGTTGACAAGAATGGGAAGAAATAAGGATCCCATGTTTTTTTCTTTTTTTGTTAAACTTTTTCTTTGAAGAGATTTAGGGATGAATTTAAGGTTGTGTTAGACTCATGTGTAGGATGCATATGTATATATATACACAATGTGGATGTGTTTTTAATTTGATTCTATTATGTTTGTGTTAATTACAAAACGATCCCTGAGAAATTAGTTATAGCTAATTCGCCTCAAATGGATTTTTTTTTAAAAAAAAATTTCTTGACTATAAAATTTCCAAAACTTTTATTTAAATGCACCGACTGTACTAATTAATAAATAACGTTATCGAAAAATTGTTTATTTGATGACACTCCCAATCTCGTTTTCGCCTGATTATTATCCACTCCTAAATTAAATATTATATATAAAATAATTCGTATCAAATTTATTCTCACTGAATAAAACGACAGATTGTGTGTGTTTTTTAATTGTAGTTTGAATTTTGAACAAATTATATAAAAGTATATATTCATTCTATTTCAAAGTTATCTTTTTATATATAATAAAAATAATTATAAATTAATATTAAAATAAATAATTAATTTAAATTTTATATTTTTTTAAAAAAAAATGACAAATAAATGGCACCTAAAAAAATAGAAATGACAGTAGAAATGAAAAAAATATTATTAAAATTTTTAGTTAATTTTAATTTTAAAATTAATTTTAAATCACAAAAAAAAATTATTGACATTCCAAATATTCGAATTAAAAAGCAACAAATCAAGTAAAATCGTGTTCGACGTTCGAAGCACCATATAAGTCGTTTTTTTTACTGTTCCTGAGAGCGATTCCGAGAGGACTTCCCCGCCGAAGTTACCGCAGCCGCGACTCTTTCTACGCCGGCGCCTGAAATGGAGAATTCGAGAGCCACCAAGACGCAGGAAGAGCAGTGGATGACACAGAGTCAAGTTTTCCGAATTTACGAACTCGTCTTCCAGCTTCCTCCCCATGCTCAGTCCGTCAAGTTAGTTCTCTACTGTTTCACTAATGATTAGGGTTTGTTTGACGCAATTAATCTACTCGAAGCCAGTTTTAGAAACAGATTCTACTATATTGATGTGCGTGCGATTTTGTAGCTTTGAGATTCGACGCGAAAACCACATTGGGTATCTCATGAAAAGTCTCCATTACCTCGGCCCTAATTTCTCGGCTTTGGATGCTAAGTACGTTCATACTTTGCTCTATTGGTGTATGTTGTTGTAAACGCCTATTGATGCTTTGTTTTGTTTCTTTCAACTGTACCACGTCTTTAAAGTTTACTGAAATTCGCTTGATATCAGTAGCTACGTATGAGAAACTTTCTTATTCAATCACGAGTTTAAGTGCAACTGTTGAGACTTTTTTTTAATTTCCTGTTTAGTCGACCTTGGCTCTGCTACTGGATCATACACTCAATTGCTTTGTTAGGGGATTGCCTTGATGACAAGCTGGAGAGTAACGTAATAGATTTTCTTCAGAGCTGCCAGGTTGGGCTTACTCCTATTCATTTGTAATACTGAAGCCTTCATTTTTCAGATTGTGATTTGTTGCTCTACCAAAATTTAGTTGTTTTTGAAGTAGAACATATGGTTGTGAACTTGTGATGTTCTTAGAGTTTGTTCTTTTTTTGAGTTCACCATTTTCTTGACAGTCCACTAGCTTCAATGGGGAAAACACCATTGAGCTGTTGTCATGGTTGTGGTGATTGGGTTGAATCCATTGCTTTTGCTCTTTTAGATCCCTATACTGATTGTAGTATATTTGACCTTTTTATTATTTAATCCTGCATTGCCATAGTTTTAATTCAACTTTGATCCTCAATGCTATTGACAGGATCCAAATGGTGGATATGGTGGCGGACCGGGTCAGGTAGAATTAAGTTTCTCAAGTTTATGATGTACCTTACACTCCGATTAAACACTTTGTCAAACCTAATGCCATGGTATTGGCACTTTTTTGTATTTTAGTTCTGTTTATACTGCTTTTCTTGAATAGTGAATTTCTGAGAGGACAAATGTTGCAGGTGAAGCATAAGCTTCTGTTTATATAATTCATATTTTTTTGTTCTTGAATTAGTTTTTCTGGAAAATATGATGTGATCTCCAAAACTTTTTAATGGACTTTATAATAATTGATTGTTTTCGACTATTGTTAGATGCCTCATCTGGCAACAACTTATGCTGCGGTGAATACAATAATTACTATTGGTGGTGAGAGGTCTCTAACATCAATAAATAGGTGCTTGATCTATTACATTTTATGCCTTTTTTTTCTTTATTTAATGTATCTTCTGAAAATTTGTTAACATTTATGTACTTCCTTATTTTCAGGAAAAAGCTACATTCATTTTTGCTACGAATGAAAGATGCAAGTGGTGGCTACAGGTATTTATTGTGTGTCAGGTTCCTTCAGCTGGAGTGCATTGAGTGAATATTTTAAGGAGTTTTGTATAAAAATCCAACATTGGAAACATGGTGTTTGCTAGTGAGCTATTTGCTTCATGGAGAATTATATAGTTCCATTTTTCTCAAAATGTGCTCTTTCAGGATGCATGATGGTGGAGAGGTTGATGTCCGCGCTTGCTACACTGCTATATCCGTAAGTTCACTCTTATTATTATTTTTTTATAATGTAGCTAAATTGCATTGTCTCGAGCACCATGAACTTGCTTAATACGATGATATCGACTAGTCATCAATAACCTAGGCCACATGTGAGTTGTGGGTTTCAATTATTTGGGAGAAAATACTACGAATGCTGACCTACTGATGGCTTAAACTTTTATATAGATTAGTGTATGTGTGTCTGTGTATATTTATGATTTCTCCAATACGCCAGTGTAGATACTTTGAAAGTTAATTATGCACAGTGATATTCCTGACAGGAATATGCATATTCAAAAAAATCTAATTGCTGGAACATAAATCTCTAGCATAACATGATGTTGAGTTTATTAAACTTCATTTCTTGTACTCATAGTTTTCCTGATTTGCTTCAGAATCATGATTAAATTATTCCAAGTAGCTGTTGTGGACTTTTTATGCCACTGGGCATGATACATCATTGTTCGATACAAGCTGTTGTGTATCCTACTGTTCTCGCTCTAATTGATTACATTCTTGTTCATTTAACCATGTTTGTCCCACCATGTTGATCATCTTGAATCGTTCAGGTGGCCAGCATTCTTAACATCTTGGATGATAGCCTAATTCAAAATGTTGGAGATTACATCCTAAGGTTCATATTTTTGTTGTTCATATAATACTTATCATTACATTTTTTTCGTTCTTCATTCATTGTTTATGCTGCATATAACTCAAAAGTAATGTCATTGTGCGTATCACTGAAGAGTAGGTTACATTTACATACTGAGTTGGTAGAGAAACACTAGAAATCTAATCCCGAAAAACACTATCAGTGCATATCCATATGTAGTGCTGTTTACATAATCAATACCAATATAACTCAAGACCCTAGTTTGGCACTCTCATTGTATTCTCATGATACAGAAAAAGCTTACTCTTCTGTGATGTTACAAATTTACTAATGGCATACATGTTTTACCTACATCTTACAGCTGTCAGACTTATGAAGGTGGAATTTCCGGTGAGCCAGGCTCTGAAGCTCATGGTGGGTATGTACTATGCCAAAATAATTTTGGTGCTCCTCATCCAATCCCAGTTTATCTGTCCCTGTTATCAGATTCATGATTATTTATTTTTAGGTTCATGTTAATTGAATGAAAGCTATCTTGTTCATTCTTCTAGGTACACATTCTGTGGTTTGGCTGCAATGGTCCTGATAAATGAGGCTGATCGGCTCGACTTGCCTGGAATAATTGTAAGCTACCGTTATTACATATTTGACGTGCTGAGCTGCTATCATTTTTTACATTTTCACCTTAATTTACTAGGAAAGTGTGATTTTACATCAACTTAATAAAAACCGGGACTTATATCTTTTGCCACCAGCTTTTAAGTAACAGACATCCTTAATAAGCTGATACTCTGTTGTATCTAGAATTGGCTCGTATTTCGGCAAGGAATAGAATGTGGATTCCAAGGCAGAACCAATAAGTTGGTTGATGGTTGCTACTCATTTTGGCAGGTGAATTAATAGATTGTTACTGTACTATTAATTAATTAATTGTAGTTGGTGGATGATAGATTAAGGTTGTCATGTTACTAGGGTGGAGTGGGTGCAATTATACAACGACTACATTCGACAATCAACAAGCAACTCGGCCTACCAGATACCTTCAGATATGATGACAGAACAGTGGAGGAGAATGACTCTTCAAACTCCAATGGAGAGCAGTCATCCGAAGGGCCATCTTCCCCAACGCAAGACCTCTGTCACCACGAAGATGAAGGTATTGAAAACTTTAAAATAATGAAAACAACAATGCTCTCCATAATGAAACCTTCTTTTCAATCCTTCATAATTGGGAGATCGATTATATGTCCGTAAGTGTATTTAAATTAAAACACAAGCGTTGCAGATGTAATTTATATAAATGGAAGCTACTGTTTCTGTAAACAGAGTCGGCGTCTTCATATATATATATATATATATCTGTTTTGCAGGAATACCGAATGCAAATCAGGGCTATGATTTCATCCAAGGGCCCGTCAGCATGAAACCTCTTTTCAACAACATAGCATTGCAGCAATACATTCTTCTGTGCTCTCAGGTACTGCGATAAAATCTGCTTCTATCTTCACCCCACCCCCACCCCCACCCCCAACCTAAATTTATTTACAAAAAACAATGTGTTTGGTGTGATGCAGGAAGAGGCAGGGTTCAGAGATAAGCCTGGGAAACGTCGAGACCATTACCATACATGTTATGTTCTAAGTGGACTGTCCATTTGCCACTATGCCAACACCAAAGACGCCGATTCTCCACCTTTGGGCAGAGATATTGTGGGGCCTTACAACAATTTGTTGGAGCCCATTCACCCTCTTTACAACATCGTCCTCGACAAATGCCTTGAAGCCCACCAATTTTTTGCAAGATCCGTCATCCTAGATTGATTCGACACAGTAAGCTGATTTCTGCTTTTATTATAAACTAGAAGAAACATGAGGAGGAGAGTAGACCACCAAGTAGAGCTGTTGTGCTTGCTTGCTAATTAGAGTTTCTTGAATACTCAGCTCGTTAGAATTCGCTCGAACTTAGCTTGTTACTAATATAATCAGTCTAGTTTGAGTTTGAAAATTTCTCAGGTTTTGGGAGGAGCCCAATCAACGTGTTCCTGTTGAAGTCTGGCGGAGTTCAGGGATGCGATGATGGCCGTTATGATTCTTACAACAATGGAAGTATCGAGGAGGCAGTAGCGATTGTCGGGGTTGCCAGCCCCCTTCAACCAGGTGGAGATGGTTAGTGGTTTCTTCACTAGTATCGGTCAGTTTATTGTGTGGGGAGGAAGAATTATTATTATTATTATTATTATTATTATTATTATTATTATTATTATTATTATTGTGTTGAATGATTTGAATCCTTGAAGATAGGGATGAGTGCTATTCGGATATTTGCAAATATGCAGGTATTTGGATACCCGTAACCGCGAATCGTATCTGAATCGAAAATTTTGACTAACTGAAAATATTTGCAATAATTGCAAATAATTGGAATATAACTAAAATTAAATATAAATATAAATTTTAAAATATAATAGTATAAATATATTCGATTAGATTAATCGAATCGAAAAAAATATCAAAAATTGAAATCAAATTTGCTTTGATTTGGTTCGATTTTTTGTCCGGTCCTACTTGAAGAAACTTTGATACGATTTTGTATATATATAAGTTGATGTTGTAGTAGTAAAGTACTGTACAGGTTTCGGGCTAATGGACTAGACAAGGCCGTGAAGTACAGGAGGGATAAGATTGCTCCCATCACGGGCTTTTATTCGGGCCCTAAATTAATTAGAAGGCACGATATATTTTAGGCTTCAGATCCAGTAATATGACCATGGGTGCTAGGCCGAGAAGGCATCAGATCCAATGTTAACTCCGACAGGCCCACTTGTCCATAAAAGACATACTCACATGAGGTCAACGAAGACCCGACAAAGCCATGTGTTGTTGTTAAGGCTAATCCAACAGGCCTTGTCGTGCAACAGACGACAAGGGCACAGTCTGTCTGTCCAGAAACTAACAGGCCCATGTGTAGTAATAAAGACCTATGCGGCCCAATGAATTTTACGTACAGGCCCATTCGACAGGCTGAATAATTGTCGTACAAACGCCAACAGGAACACGTAGGGTCTGCCTGATTCAGACAGGCCCACCTTCTGGAAGGCCCAATTTCTGTCATCTAACAGCCGACGTTGAAGTTGTCTCCTCAGAGACAGACAAGCCCATGTCTGGGGTTAAGGCCCATTTGGCCGAACATTATTTACATCTTACCCATAAGGCCCAATGTAATCTCAGCTAAAACCCATCCAGAAACGCCCAATTTCTGTCAACCAATAACCGACAGGAGCACGTGCGGTTTGCCCAGATCCGGTAGTCTGCCACCTAACTACCGACAGTCAGACATGCTGTCCCCCTAGTGACCAACAGGCCCACATACTATTTTGTTAAAGCCCATTCATCCTAATGTCATTCTGCCCCAGCCCAGAGGGCCCAATACTGTATGAGCTCAGGCCCATCCGACAGTAAAACGTGTTGTCTCCCCATAGACCAATTGAATCACGTGCAATTATCAAGGCCCATTTAGCCCATCATCTTTTCTAGTCTGGGCCATATGACCCAATATAATATCAGCTCGGGCCAATGTCACAGGCCCAATAGTTGTCGCACAACATCCGACAGGCCCAATGGCCGACATGATTGCTGCTGCCCAGTGTCCGACAGTCACCCGATGGCCGACAATAACACGTTTTGTCTCGCCATAGACGAACCGAGTCACATGCAGTTGTCAAGGCCCATTATCTTTTCTAGTCTGGGCCCTTTGATCCAATATAAAATCAGCTCGGGCCTATGTCACAGGCCCAATAGTTGTTGCAAAACGGCCGACAGGTCCACTGGCCGATATGATTGCTGCTGCCCAGAGACCGACAGTCACCCAATGGCCGACAATAACACGTGTTGTCTCCCCATAGACCAACTGAGTAACATACAGTTGTCAAGGCCCATTATCTTTTCTAGCCTGGCCATATGACCCAATTTAATATCAACTCGGGCCCATGTCACAGGCCCAATAGTTGTCGCACAATAGCCCACAGGCCCAATCCCGACATGATTGCTGCTGCCTAGTGTCCGACTGTCTCCCCAGAGACCAACTGAGTCACGTGCAGTTGTCAAGGCCTATTTGGCACAATATCTTTTCTACTCTAGGCCCTACGACCCAATATAATATAACTAGAGTCCATCAAACAGGCCCAATAGTTGTCCTCTAACAGCCGACAGGCCCAATGGATGTAACCCAATGGCCAGTAGGAGCATGTGTTGCCTGCCCAAAGCCCTTCAATCTCACGTGCAATAATCAAGGCCCAGTCTTCCGGCCCAAATCAATCTAGCCCACATTCATAGACCACGTGCTTAAGCCCAGTCACTGCGGCCCAAACCTACTGAGCCACATGGTGCAGAACCACGTAATTAAGGTCCAAAGCAACCCGACCCATCTTCTAAAAGCCCTATCCACAAGGCCCACGTACCCAAATCTCCGGTTTATGTTCTTAGAACCCAAACATAACAAGCCCATCGACTTTATGCCAAAATCAACATAATATCAGCCCAAATCCACCAGGTCCACGTACTATCTACTTTTTATCAATTTAAATATTTAACATATAGCATATAAATTAAAAAAATCCAACTACACCACCAATCCAATCAAATCCATCAATAAATCATCCAAAATTCAACCAATCCCCCCAATTCCTCCCTTCTCAAATTATTCCTGCAATTTAGCAGACAAACCCAACCACCACACTAACCAAACCTCACCTTCAAGAATCACCTCCGGTGGGGCTGGTGGCCGCCGCCGCCGCCTCACCCGCCGGAGCATCATTATTTGACGACACCACCGGAATCTTCACCGCCGCAGCCCTCTCCATTTCCTTCTCGAGCTCCTCCTCCTGCCTCAACGCCGTAAACTGCCCATCCAACGACCTCGCGGCTCCCAACCAGGCAAGCACGATGACGAGCAGCACCCCGCCCAAATACGGCGTCGAATTTGCCAACGATCCGAACGTCAAAATCATGAACTGCTGGATCAACGCGCCTCCCGACTTCCCCAGCGGATTGCACACCACATCGATCGCCGCCTTCCCTTTCACCTGTCAAACGATAAACAATCAAACCGTTACAAAAAACCTCGACGTTCCGGCAAGAAAGAAAAACGCGATTACAACCTTGGTGTCCTCGTCCAACGGGATATACGCCATCTCCTTACACGGGTCGAAAAGGCTGTACTTGGCGCTCTTACTGAAAATATTCTGCAGGGCCCCGACATACACCGCCGCCAAGAGGGGGGTCATTCCGAATCCCGCCAGCGACGGGGCGAGGGGGCCACCGAACAAAATGAGGGAGAAAAACCCGACTCCGGTCAGAAGCAGGACAGTCGGGGTGATCTTCGCGGCCACGCCCCACCCGTATTTATTAAATATCCATTGGCTCAGCAACATCATTGTGAAAGTAGCGACTCCCGTGGCAGACGAGAAGTCGCCCATGAACGACGAGTATTCGTTCGGCGTAGGAAACTACAAAAACCCGAGTCCAAGATTATCAACAAAATATGAAGCATTCGTAAAGCCATGGTTTTAAGTATTGACTCAAGTAAGTACCTGAGCTTTAAGCTTCGATTTCCAGGTAACCTCGACGAGGTTGATGCTGATTCCGTATGCGACGACCAGAGTGGCGAGATCTCTAATGTATCTCGACGATACAAGGAACTTCAAGCTCTCCATTGTCCCCATCTTCGGCTTGTCCTAATAGAACAAAACAAAAGGATCACACCAACAAGAATTTACGCGCCTTGACCCCATTTTTACATAAAAAAATTCACTCCGTCCACAAAAATTATGTCAGTTGTTTTGTTTTGTACACTAAACTTATGTACAGTCTATTGTCAAACACACTATTCCTTCATAGTTCTATTACTTCCATTTCAACAAATAAAAACGATTTTGAGGCTACTTTTTCTAATTACTTCATTAGTTTTTCATATAAAATTTTTAATAAATTTTTTACAATACCCTCACTTTATTTTGTACCTACTTCATTCTAATATTAAAATACCATTATTTTTTAATCTCAGTGTCCCGGACAGAGCAGTTTTTTCCCTAAAGTGTGTTTTTGTCAAAAAAAGAGAACACATTTCCCAAAAAAATAATATATCATACCCTCACATAGAAAAAAAATATATTTCAAACTATTTCACAAAACAAACATACCCTTGACAACAAACACTTAAGGTTTGTTCACATCGAGATTTCCTTTTTCCCCCGTAAAAGGACCTTATTAAAAACTTATAATTCCATTCAAAACATCACCTCTAATATCATATTTTCCATTTAAAATACCGTAACTATGCCAAAAAAACGAAGAAACACCAAATCTCTAAAAATGTAAAACGACATACCTTCTTTTTCTTTTGGCTTCGGGTGGGAAGGGCAACGTTATTATTGACCCACCAATAAAGGAAGCAAATGGCCATCCCCATCAACACGACGATGCTCATCATGCCTTTCAAGGAGAGAGCCCAACCATCGACGCCCGGAGGAAGATTCTGCCTCATTTGAGAGAAGTATTTCACCGTTCTACCCGAGAAGATGAGGGCGACATTTGCACCAAGTCCGAAAAGTGGATAGAATTTCTTTGCTTCTTCCACAGTTGTTATCTGTTGCACAATAAAGTCACCAATCATGAAAACCGAACTTATTAACAGCAGGATAAAAGTGACATGTGTGATCCCACATTAAAAATTTATTTCATTTGCATGTGCAACGTGGAACTAAATTACAAGAATTCGGCATTGAATGTATTAAAACAAAAAACTAACAAACAAGACATTACATCATCAAGCTGTGATCATTTGTCATAATTTTCTTTTTTTTAGGTTTGACATGAATCTAGATTAAAAGAACTTGGAATATATGTATTAAAACAACAAACGAACTAACAAACAAAGCAGTATATCATCAAGACGTGATCATTTCTGTCCTAATTTCCATTTTTCAGGTAGGACATGATTCTACATTACAAGAATTCGGCATTGAATGTATTAAACAACAGATGAACCAACACATGTCATCAAGCTGTGATCATTCCAGTCCTACATTTAATTTCTAGGTTCGACATAAATCTAGATTACAAGAATTCGGCATCAACTGCATTAAAGCAACATACTAACTAATAAACAAGACATTATATCATGAAGCTGTGATCACTCATATCCTAATTTTCATTTCTAGGCTCAACACAAATCTAGATTGCAAGAATTCGGCATCAAATGTATCAAAACAACATACAACTAAAAAAATCAACTGATAATTTTTTTTCCTATCAAAAGCATGGATAGAAACATAAATTCGATCATATCAAATGAACATTTCCTACCTGATTAGCAAACCCCCAAAACAGGACAGATATAACAACACTCCCCCAAAGCTCAGCCATGACATAGAACAAGCAGAAGCTCCAGATTCTCAAAATGGCCAGAGGCCCAAGAAACCTCGGCCCTAAAACACCGAGCAGCTTATCGGCCAGCGCCGTCGGGTGGAAGTACTGGCTGAGAGGATACAGCACGAATCCAAACGCCCCGAAGAAACCAATAAACGGGAGAATCACAGTGTAAAACAGGGCCTGCTTCGACAGCACATTGGCCAGCTTCGTGTACAGAAGCATGAACCCGATAGCCATCGGCAAGTTCACCCATGTCTTCAGAAATGGTATGATTTCAGCGCTGGAACCTTTGGCGGTCACCACCAGGACATCCTTGGTGTCCCTGAGAATCGTATAATTAAACAGGATGCAGAAGAACATTATCCCCAGAGGCACGATTTTCTTCAGCGTCTCCAACTCGATTCCCAACAGCTTCCCCGATTCCTTCGGCAGCCCATCCGCGGCGGCGGCGGCCGCCGCCGCCGCCGTACGGACGGAATGGCTTTTGTTATGCCGGTTTAAGAGCGGCGGTTTCGGGGCAAGGGAAAACCCTAGGGATTTGGGGGTTCCGGAAATTGATAATGGAGAAACATCGGGGAGGACTGATTTGATCGAAGGGGTTAGGGAATTGAATCTGTACCTTAAACCAGTCGATGGATGATAAACCGTTGCCCTGGTTTTAGGATTTGAAGGTAGAGATAGAAACCCCTTCGATTGAAGAACGCCTTGCATTTCTCCACCCCCTCCTCGCCTATTCTCCCAAATTCAACAAAAAATTCCCTCCGGAGAACGTCCAGAGAGACGCGAACTCGATTCCTAATGAGGAGTTCGAGAGAGGAATGGAGATAAGGTTTAGGCTAGGGTTTCAAAGATTATATCGAAATTCTCAACCCTAAAAAAACAAATGCAGACAAATACATCGACAACAAAAAAAAAAATCAAGGATCCACGAGGACAGAATTCTGCAGTAAAAAAAATATATATATATAATTAATCGAATCTAAACAATGCGGCGGAGCTCCGTCGTCGATCAATTACTGCGCCAGCAAATTAACAACTATTCTTTACTGCCTTTTGCATTCAGACGAAGACAAAAAAACAGGTTGGGTCGGAAAAATCAGAGGAAAAGGGCAAGTTGGAGAGCGAAAAAGTGTGGTTCTGAGAAAGATCCAACCAAAAGCGCAGAATAAATCGTGCCCAGAGCAGTGCGGGTGGAGCCCAGACTGACGACGATGCAGAGATTTTTTCTTGCAGAGAGGAATTAGGGTTTGCAGAGATATTTAGCACGTGGTTTAACACAAAAAGGCCCTGTTATATATATATATTACTTTATATATTTGAATTAATAAAAACAGAACACAGTTAGCATAAGGAGCGGGTCATAATTGACTAGTCTCCGTGTCCTAAATCATAGGAGGGACGATCCACGCCGTTGAATCAATGGCTGCATAAAATCAATGGTGTAGATTCTGCTGCCACCTACCCTTGCCAGACAATAGTGAGAGAATTTTTCTAATTAGAATTGTGTTTTTGAGAGTTTTGGTCACATTTTTATTACTTTGTAAAGGAAATTTCATTCGAAAATTAAATTTAAATATGTATTTTTAATTTTTTATTATAATAAAAATTATTTTATAATATTATAACAATACATACATATATATTTGTTGATGTATTTTTTCAACAAAAATAAAGTAAAATTCAAAGATATAGAAAATATCCTTAAACTTGATTAATTAGTGCCTGAGATTAGGAATCTCTAAACACTGTAACGTACAGAAACTAAACTGGAAAATAAAAGACTGAAATTTAAAGTGGTGATTCCCAAATCTGACTTTGCTTTGTTGAAGTTGATTGAAGATCCCTTTTCAGAATAAATCTGAATCCTTAAATAGCCTTTGAAGAAAACGGTTTGAACCGCCGTCTGGTCGGTTACAGCAACCGCTGTCAACCGACCATCAAATTCTCCTCAATTGACACGTTTTACAACTTCTTTCAACCTCCCCAAACCTCTCACGCCATAATCCGTCCCAGAAATGCCATTCGCCCGACTTCACTTTGTCCGAACTTCGTCCTTCGCCCGACCTGCTTCTTCGCCCGACCTCACTTGGCCGACCTCCGCATCAGCCGCCCTCCGTTTTTGACACTTGGCCGACCTCCGCATCAGCCGCCCTCCGTCTTTGACCGAAGACCTCCGCGTCTGTCCGAACTTCGTCCTTCGCCCGACCTGCTTCTTCGCCCGACCTCACTTGGCCGACCTCCGCATCAGCCGCCCTCCGTCTTTGACACTTGGCCGACCTCCGCATCAGCCGCCCTCCGTCTTTGACCGAAGACCTCCGCGTCTGTCCGTACATCTTCCTTGCCCGACCTTCCTCTTGACAGACCTCCGCGTCTGCCCGACTTCGCCTTTCACCCGATCTACGGTTTACCCGACTTGGGTACACCCTTTTTTTTTAGACTCCACCCGACCTTTCTTCCTTTTCCCGACCTTTATTCTGTCCGATTGCACCCGACTTCTGGGTCATTTAACTTACATCCAGACCCGTCCAGAATCCCACCGCCATTATTTATTATTATTATTTTTTGTGCGTAACAATATTATATTATATAATCTTTATCATTTAAAATATTTTTATTAAAAAAAAATCTTACTCTCAAAGGTGCAAAAGCATATTATAAAAATGCACCATTTTATTTGCATTGTAATTTCCTTTTGTTTTTTTTTTTTTTGTTTTTTACTTTAACATTTATCTAAAAATATCATGTTTATTTTAAACTATTGAAACTAAATACGTATTACAAATTTGTTTGATTGTGAAGTTGATTTCAAATGGGTATTAATTTGTATTTTTTCTGATAGTACTTTTACTTGATATTTTAGAAAAAAAATAATAATATATTTTGATTAAAAACAGTATGGAATTAATAATAATGATCACATTGAAATCACAATTAAACAAACTCCATTAATAAAATAAAAGTAAAAGAGCAAATAAGTTTAAATTTAATGGATGTAACAATAAAAACATTATATTGTTATCATTAATGATATTACCGGGCGACATAAATTAATACTCTGTCTGTCATTGCCACTTTTTCTGTATTGTCAAAAATATATTATAATTTGACTTATTATTCTTAAAATAGTATAAATATCCGATAGACTAATTCTTTTTAAATTTAAAAATATTGATGTAATTCAATATATCTAATTAATAAGGGAATGGAAGTGTAATATTACAGTGAAATCTTCATCCCTTTCACCCTTAGGTCGTGGCGTGGACACCTACAATTAATTTAAATTTATATTTAAGTTTGATTCAAAATTCTAAAATAACAAAGCCCGTAAAAAGACAACAAAAACATGCCTAAAATTATGCCACAGACCAAAAATGCATTTTAAATTTCCATTGACACAATAATTAAATGTGATATTTTTATAAAAATAATTCAAAACAAAGCAATAACCAAACAGCTGAAGAAGCTTCTTATTAAGAAGGAGCAAGCAATGGAAACCATAGAGAGCTATAAAAAAAAATGGGAATATTTTATGTTTATCTGAAAATATCCTTCGACTTTAAAAAATCTACGGAAAAATGCAGAGCTCGATTCAACAATTGCACAAAGGATATTTACTTCCAAAGCTTCCTCAATGACATGTTTTTGTCGTTTTCTTTTTTCATGACTTTGGCGACAGCCATCTCGAAGTCCTCCTGTGTCACATGAACCCGTCTTTCCCTCAAGGCGAACATACCGGCTTCGGTGCAAACAGCCTGTGGAGTCATAGTTCGTTATTTAACTTTTTTCATTAAAAATTCATGAGAGAATACGAATAAAAATTTTTGCCACTGTTCATCAACAATAATTTTTTTTTAAAATATCACATTGCATACCAATTTTTTTTTAACATTTTATTATTCTTAAAACTCTCCAATAGTGTTTTGACTAAATAAAATAATATTTCGAGACAAAAGGGTGGTTATAATAGTAACACTATACGAAATTTAGGAAGGTAACAAACATTATAATTTTAATCAAAAGAAGCTATTATATATATGTTGCGACTTACCTTCATTTCTGCTCCGGATGCTCCATTCATTTTCTCAGCAATCTTCTTCAGATCGATCCCTCTCATCAAATTCATTTTCCTTGAGTGGATCTTCAAGATATCGAACCGAGACTGAAATGATTTTGCATAATCAGCTATACTAAAAACAGGCGTGACAGTGAGCTATATATATATATATATATGTGTGTGTGATTCTGCGCAATTAGAAGAATACCTCTTCATTAGGATTTGGGAACTCGATTTTTCGATCAATTCTTCCTGGTCTAAGCAGCGCTTGGTCCAGAATGTCGATCCGATTGGTAGCCATTAATACCTATACATGATAGTTGTAAATAAAACTTTATACGTAAGACCGACAGCCGGAAAGTAGTCGTGGAGTGTACTTTTATCTTATTCGAGGCCTCGAAGCCGTCTAGTTGATTGAGAAGCTCGAGCATAGTTCGCTGAACTTCACTATCTCCATTTCCACTGCCAGATTCCATACGAGCGGATCCAATGCTATCAATTTCATCCATGAAGATGATCGATGGAGCATGCTCTCTGTAAAAATAACATTGTTAATTTATCTGATATAGACAAGACGAGCAGATAAGCATCTATTTGGTCGCCGTGCATATCGAAAGAATGGAAACAAATCTTCCAATCTCGAAGGAAATCGAATGAACTATTTGCTATGAATGCTTGATGTTGAAAGCTACTAACCTGGCCATCACAAACAGTTCTCGAACCATTCTAGAGCCTTCTCCAATGTATTTCTGAACTAATTCAGACCCCGAGACTCGGATGAAAGTGCATTCTGTATGGTGAGCCACTGCCCGAGCAAGCAGTGTCTTACCAGTGCCGGGTGGCCCATATAGCAAAACTCCCTACCGTAAGGATACAAAGGATCAGAAGTATATTTCAGAACTTTGAAGAAATAATGATACGTATTAACATCGATGGCATTACCTTAGGTTGAGCTATACCAAGACTCTCGAACAATTCTGGATGTTTGATGGGAAGTTCAATCACCTATAAACACAAGATAAGAACATGAAATTACTTTGAATATTTGATGCTTGTCGATCTAATGAATACTAGTTTTGATACAGAACTTTTAATAGCTGTAAATAATGTGAAGATGTAAAACAGATCACTTGGATATTGACTTCATATCTTTCTTTTAAAAAACATTGCAAACGAAAAATAATTCAAAATATGGACCTCCTTTATCTCTTTAATTTGCTGATCAAGACCACCAATCATGTCGTAGGTTGAATCTGGAACCTTTTCTACTTTCATAAGATTCACCAACGGATCAACTTTACTAGGAAGAATCAGGTGAAGCACGTAGCTATCATTACGCAAAGCAACTCTCGCTGAAGGTGTAATCTTGGTTATGTCAATGCTTTTGTCAATGTCAACAACATACTTCCCCTCTGGATGTACCTAAGCAGAGGAGAATTTGAGATTTTTACAATCAACACTTATCTAAACTTTACACACACATACAAAATAAGTGACTAGCAGTATTCAGATATCAATGTCACAAGAAGAAAATTTCCAGTAAATGGACACAGTGTTTACTCAAATGCAAAATATACCTTCACCAGAACCTTGGATTTCCCCATAACTTTGACAACTTCACCAACATAAGATCCGGGTTCCTGAAGTAACTGCAACTCTTCCTTCAATGATCTCACTGAACATCAAATAGACACAAAACACACATATACACAAACACTTTTCTCCTAAATCAAACATTCATTTATTATATGCTATCCATACCAAGCTTAAATTAGAGATTTAAGAACAAGTGGGCACCTGCTTAAATAAAGTTACACCAATTATAAGAACAAAACACCTGATAAAAATTCAAAGAATTTCTAAATGATTATATAAAGAAATGAAAATAGAAGAACAAAGCAATAATAAATAACAGGCTAAGAAAGAAGGGAAAAAAATGTAAGCATGGTTTGCCTATAGTACAATAGCGCCGATCATATGCCAGATATCAATTCATCGGCCACCATTAAAAATAACCTGACCCACACAAATTATGTAATGCATGATCCAGCAGCAATAAAAGTGTGTATATGCCAAAAAATGAAATTCAATAAAGCTCTCATCACATCAACATGAGAGCTCAAAAATGTTTACCTCTCCTATCCTCCCCTATACAAAACTATATCTTATTTCCAGCTCCATCTAGGCATGTTCCATGGGAGTAAACCAAAGAATGATCCCAAATAATTTCCCCTGCTAAAATAGCTAATAAAATCATAAATAAGCTCCTAGAGAAAAGAAAACACAGATTATATGAAAGAAACACAATAAATTCTACTACATAATTGCTCCATATTACTCGCAATAGATTGCCATAAACAAACACACTGGTGAGTAGTTATTGAAACGTCTGCTTATGCTATTTTGATTATCACTCCTGTAATCAATACTAAAAATCCTTTATCAAACCCTAGCGTAAGTACTTCTGATTAACCTAACATTCGACACAGTATAACAAACGAAAAACTAAGGCACACCAATGGCCACATTAAGAAGAAAATGCAGCAAAACAAAAAAAAAAAAAACAAAATAATAATTAATAACAAAGGCGAGAAAAGAAACTATAAAACCTCGCCCATTGAGGTCGTTGCGCTGCGCTTCGAGCCGATGGAGATCGTGTTCTTGCTGACGAACTAGCAGCTGCATATCCTGAATCCGTTGCTGATAATACTGCCGCAGCCCTTCCCCACCGCCTCCGCCTTGGCACTGCCTAGAATCCTCCACTTTCCGAGCCTTCACCGCCGCCGTCGCCATAATCCGATCGTCCCGTATCTGCGTAGATCGAATAATTAACTAACTTTCCGTCTTCCTCAAGTCACCTCCGACGCCGAGAGATCTCTCTCGCGTCATATATATATATATGCACATATATTTTGTTATTTACTATTTTGACCTCCTATTTATATGGGTTCAACTTAAAAGTATTGTAAAGTTAAGGAACCTGTTTGCAAAATGTCAAAAGGTGACCCAAAATGGATATGGAGAAGTTCTGCTATAAATATGAGAGGGCATGTCTCTGAACTTTCTGCGCCTAGCCCTGTAGACGATACAGTCCCAGTTTTGTATCTATGGAGTTTCTAGTTTTTCCTTAGATTTATTCTTTTCCTGTTAGATTGTAGCACAATTGACGAATAAATTTGATCTATCTAGGGTTAGGAGGTGCGGATCCGCGCTGAGATTGGAGGCGATCATAATCGTTTCAAAAACTAGGGTTTCCCACCTGTGTTGATTGCCGCCACTGCTACTTACCGGATACACTGATTGATAGAAATAGAAAGATCATTTCCGTGTTACAGTTGTGATCTGTAGAGATTTTTGTTGTTTTACTTTGTAATTCAAAGCGTTTTTTCTATTTTTGAAAGCTGGGATCGCTCTTTTGTGGTCGGGCAATTGGGCGTATTTTTTTGTGTGTCAAATTGTCGGTATAGTTGGGATTGGGATCGGTGGCTAGGGTTTTGATTTTTTGGATTCAATAGAAAATAAGTCTTCTGCTGTGGGGGAGAATGGATAAGAAGAAGGCTGCGGCTCCCTTGGTTTGCCATGGGCATTCTCGCCCGGTTGTTGATTTGTCCTACAGTCCGATTACGCCTGATGGTTTCTTCCTCGTCAGTGCAAGCAAGGGTAAAGTTCGATTGTGTTTGAATGAAATGCATTGATGTTCTGCCTGCCTGCTTTGTTAAAATCATTTGATGGCAATGGTTCATAGCAACTCCTTGGTTTTGAAAATGAATCTACTCAATATATCAAGTTGTAAGTTCATTATCCTTTCCTCTGCTTATCTCAGATATATAATGTTCAAAGTCTAGACTATATTAATCTAGTATCAGTATGTTCGATAGTTTGTAGTATATTTGAACCTCCTGTTGTCAGTTGTGTGGATTTGTAATGTGTAGAAAATGAAGTATTTTGTTCATAGGTACTAGTTGGAATGCTGACAATAGAAATGTATGCAAAGCTAGAGTTAAGATTGATGTTAAATGATTGGTTAAAAGAATTAATGTTTGGATAAGACACAAATGTGTGCTAAACTTGTCAATGACTACCTCATGTCCACTGCTGTTTAGGGATCATCTGTATCTTATCCCCGAGAACACCATGTGCAGTGTCGAAGCCGAGTTTATGACTTGCACATGTCGAAGCTATGTCCCCATCTAAGAACTGTTTACTGAATCTAATGAATAGAGTTGTTAAATTATAATTAATTCACAGGTTGGTCTGTGTCATGCGGGAAAAACAAGTGTAAAGAAAATGGCTTTTAAATAAAAGGGAACATAATAGGGACTGAAGAAAGATTCTTAGGTATTTTACATGTATTATCTAAGTCCAAGTTCAGCCTTTATTGTTAATAGATTTGTTTTTATCATAAGAACTTGTTTGTGCTGTTGAATTCTCAAGCATTTCCTTTTGCTTCTATGTAACAGTTGTTCTCAAGAACCAATTCTATTTGTTAGTTATCATACATTTTTTGGAGAATATTTTTGTTGGCTAAATCAAACGTTAGAGATCATATATATGTTGTGTTGGGTGACCAAGAGACGTTTGCAAAATAGCTTTCTTTAAATTGTGTTCATTACAGAACCATAAATCATTTTAAGCATTTCATGTCACTGTGGAGCATGAATCAAATTGAAATTTTTTAATGAAGACTGACAATTTGATTAAATCTTTTGTGGTTATGAATATATGTTCAGACTCAACACCAATGTTGAGAAATGGAGAAACTGGAGATTGGATCGGAACCTTTCAGGGGCATAAGGGTGCAGTATGGAGTTGTTGCCTGGATAAAAATGCTCTTCGTGCAGCTTCTGCATCAGCTGATTTTTCCGCGTACATCATCTTCTTATTGTTTCTTTTTGTTTGCCTTGAAGTTCAATAAACACTCTGATCCTCATTATCATGATACTGCAGAAAACTCTGGGACGCATTAACTGGGGATGAACTACTTTCATTTGAACACAAGCACATAGTTCGAACATGTGCCTTTTCCGAGGTATTCCTTTTTATCAATCCTCTAGTTAGTGCTTCCCTATTTATCATTTCCTAGCTGTGAAGCCATTCAATGTACTTCAATTACAGGATACCCACCTATTGCTCACCGGAGGGATGGAAAAACTCCTGCGCATATTTGATCTGAATCGACCCGATGCACCAGCCCGGGAAATCGAAAAGTCCCCCGGATCAGTCCGAACTGTCGCTTGGCTCCACAGCGACCAGACAATCTTAGGCTCCTGCACTGATACCGGCGGAGTGAGGTATATTGATGCAAAAATGACGATATCGACCTTTTTATATATTCATTACATGTTTAAAATGTATGACCTTTTGGACATAGATTATGGGATGTAAGAACGGGCACAATTGTCCGTACCCTCGAGACCAAATCTCCCGTAACCAGCGCTGAAGTGAGCCAAGATGGCCGCTACATAACAACTGCCGATGGTTCGACTGTCAAGTTTTGGGATGCAAATCAGTAAGTTCTATGCAATATTTGAGGGTGTGTTTCTTTTGATTGGTTTGGAAAAAAAGGAAATTGGATTGAATTTAGTATTAAAATAATATTTTGTAAAAAAATACATATTTTTTTCGGGGAATGCAAAGTTCAAATAGTAAAATACTAGGAGTTTGGTGTAAAAGAAACAGATCCTCAGTTCTTACAGCCCTTCAAATTAACACATATGTAATATTAACTTGTCAATTCCCCGACAGCTTCGGGTTGGTGAAGAGTTACGAAATGCCCTGCGTTTCGGAGTCGGCTTCGCTGGAGCCGACTTATGGCAATAAGTTTGTCACCGGCGGTGAAGACATGTGGATTCATATATTCGATTTTCACACCGGCGCAGAAATTGGTGAGTGCTGATTTCAAATTCGAACCATATGTCTGTCGTCGATTCGTGCATTTTAAATGTTAAAATAATTTTTTACAGGGTGCAACAAGGGACACCACGGGCCGGTCCACTGCGTGCGGTTCTCGCCGGGCGGCGAATCGTACGCGTCCGGGTCGGAAGACGGGACGATCAGAATATGGCAGATGGGTCCGTTGACAAACGGGCAGGAGACTTCTTCCGGAAGCGCCAACGGGCCGATTCTGAATGCTAAGGATGGTGGTGGTGCGACAAATGAGGTAATTCATCGGATTGAGAATGTGCATATTTCTAAGGATGATAAGAAAACAGTGAGCATGAATTAGAAAGAGGGCTATGCTTATGATATATGAATGATTGAAATGGGATTGTATCATCTTCTTATTACATACATACATACATACAAAACTACATTCTGTGTGTTCGTTTTTGCCTGGCCTGAGAGAGGTATTACGGTAAATGTTTTTTTATGTGGTTTTGTGTCTTTTGTAATAAACGTATGCTTCATCCTTTCTTGCTCCCTTCTTCTCTCCCTTGCCTGCAAACAAGACCTGCCGTGGACTCGTAATCGTGAAGTTATGGATTTACTTAGTGTGATTTGCTTTGTCGGATCTAACTTACATGCTGATATATTCAGTCGGGAGATTACAATCAAATTATAGCGGCTGCAGATTTAGGTCTTGCTGGACATACAGTGTTTGTTTGCAAACTATTATGTTCAGTAATAAGTTTATAGTGCAAGTAAAATTGAAGATTAATGATATATGTATAATGGATGGGGCCAGATTGATACTGTGTATATTTTAACAAAGTCAAAAGTAAACCAATTCACCCGTTTATGTTTCGTTGAAGGAGTAGTTTTAAATAACACACTATAAAAAGAGTTATAAGAAAAAATAATACTATATATTTTTATTAAAATTTAGGTTTATTTGTTTAGTCTTATAATTAGAAGTGTCTTTTATATAATGACAATAATAATAATAATAATAATTGAAAGCAATAACATCCTTTGTCTCAAAAATATATATATATATATATAAATAATATTAATTGCAAGTAAACACATCTCTAACATACACAATATAAATATGTATATATTAAATAGTGATGTTATATGAAAGGAAACATATCCTTTGCCTCTTACATAAAATATAAAAATAAAAATAAAAATAATTAATTAATTAATTAGATTAAAAGACTATTATTTTCAACATCTAAACTATACGAGTACAAAATATCTTCACACCAAAATTTTCGAATCCAAAATATCAGTTCTAAGCAAATTACCAAATGGAGACTCTGATAATCTTTTCTCTCTGAGTTTCCATTTTACTTCCCTGTTGCACAAAAGCAACAAATAAATGATACAAAAAAAACGAGCTACAATAAAGAATTAAGATGCAAGAAGCATCATTGCAAACATTTCAAACCGGATCCAAATCACGCCTTCATTGGCCAGGTTGCTTGAGCCGACATAATAATGCCAACAATGACACCAAACAGTCCGAGGGCGCTGCCAAAGATCTCTATAACGAGGATCTTAACAAAAAGAGACGAGTTTTGTGCATCAGACAAGGCACAGCTGCTTCCAATGATTCCAACGCATAGTCTTTATTGAAGAAAACAGATGAATCGAAATAAGTGTACTGAAAAATGTGTCCATTATAGAGGGAGTGACACAAATGAATTCAGACTTACCCGCAGACAAGGTTTGCAAAGCCCACGATAATTCCGGATGCAAAAATGGCGTAGCCTGCTCTGAGGGACTCGGGGTCGTATATTTTTGCCCAAGGAACGCTCTCCAGCTTTGTCTGAAGGATAATAGCTACAATGACTCCGTAAATGGCGACTGCCTCGCAGAAAATCACACTGAGAGGAGATGGAGCTAAGATGAATATGATGAGTAGCAAATTGGTATTAATTATGACATCAACTCAGATCAATTTCATCAACCGAAAAGTATCACTTGATATACTCCCTCCGTCGACTCTAAATGTATCTATTTAGTCATTTTAGTTTGTCCACTCTCAATGTATCCATTTTCCTTTTTAATAATTATATTTCTTACTTTAATAAAAAATATTTCTACACTTTACATAATGTTATAATCTATGTCATTAAAAAAATAAATATGTTTAAAGGCAAAATTTTATTTTTATCTTTCTATTATACTATTATCATTTACTTTTGGCAAATAATAGTATTTTAATTGTAATAGATAGTTAAAAATAGTCTAAAATAATTTTGCCCTTGTTTTTTTTTGTGTGTGTAAAAGTAAATATGTTATGGTAAAATAGGGATACTTATGAGAAAAAATAGAATATTTTTGAAATAATTACTCTGTAATTAGACAACCTAAAATAAAAATATGTATAATTTTTTAGTGGACATAAATAGTATATAACATAAATACAATATATGAACAAAGTATACAAAGAAAATGCCACATTTAATTTCACTACAAGATGTATACTAACACGCCACAAATGTATGGGTATGAACTAAAAGCACAATGTAGCAATCCACACAACACATGTATTAATTCAAGAAATGTGTTGTTGGTCTATAAATCATGTACTGCTGATTAGCCCTAATCACCACTCTAACCATCGAAGTCACCGTCGCATAAATGTAATGAATCCAAGACTTATTCGGGAAAAATCAAATGAATTCTTTTTATTCGTGTGGAAAAGAAGGAATCATGATGGAAATACTTGTACACGTAGCATGAAGGAGAAATATTAATCATCAAAATGAGTTCATTTACATCAATACATGCAAATGATGTGTTACATCAATTCAGAAGATGTCTCCGACGGTTTATTATTTAATTTCAAGGTTACATTCCTATGTAAAGTGACATACAAGTGTCTATACATTGGTGCCCAAATTGCATCTTTTTGGGTGTGTTTGTTTGTGTTTTCAAACTAGGATCTGCACTATGGAAACTACAGTACATATATTCTTCACACTAAAAGACATCGTATCCAATATTTATTTTCTTTTCAAAAAAAAAAAATCAAATCCAACTATTTTCAATTCAAAGCATCACCCCGAAAACTAATTTTCCATTAAAAAGGTTTCAAAACAATGACCTGAATCAATTATACCACAATTCTATTCCCCTGTTTTTGAAGAAACATGTAACCAGCATTCAAATTGATCATCATAACTAAGGAAAAATCCATGAATCTTCTATATAATTTCCGAGGGAAAGAATCGAATGCACAATTATTTCACCTATATTTGTAAGAGTCAAAAATGGAAGCACAATATAGTATAACATAAACAAAATAAGGTGACTTCTCTACTTCAGTTTTCAATATTCAAATTTCTTGAGAAACACATCTCAGCCTTCATGTTTTGCTCTTTGATGCTTCTTATTTGTTCATTTCTTTCTCAGTAGCATTCTCATTGACTCCTTAATCAGATAATTCAACAATGAAGCATTTGGAATTCCACTTAGATCCTTTGGAATAACACACTTTTGCAAAATTAGACACTGACAAAAAACCAAAGCACAATCGAAGATACCTGATTAAATTTTTTGACGTAATGCGAGGAGCTTTAATCGCAGCACCGATCAAACTACTTCCTGTGATGTATATCCCCCTAAACGATCCAATAAATCAGCCAATCAGACCAAAAACAACTTCGTCAACACAAGTAAATTATACATATAGTTTACCAGGCGGCGCCGAGAACGGAAACGCCGATCGAGATGGCGATTCCGATGGCGGAGTAAGTGTAAGGCGAGATCTGAACCAAGGCATGCGACCATGAGCTCGACGACGCCACCATCGTGATCTGCACTTCCGATTCGAGATCGAAAACGCCGTTGCAATCAAACCTCTTTCCGACGGTATAAACTTATTCCGATATGATCCGAATCGGGGCTGAACCTTTGGGCCAAATTAATCAACCGTTTGTGGGCCTCTTGTTTGTGGGACCCAAATCAACCAAACGAGTATGTAACAATTGAACCCGTTTTGGACCGATTTTCGGATCCGGAACCTCACATGGATTCCGGGTCCATGTCCGTATGTGGTTTTGGATATGATAAATCTAATTTCGATCCGGATTCAGATGTTATAAATTTATAATATATTTTTTTCCGTTTCATATTTATCTATTTGTTTGTTTTTTACATAAAATTTTAGAAATATTAATATTATATTGAGATGTAATAGAAATAAAAAAATAAAAAAAGGCTAAATTAATATTGTATGATAAAAATTTAATAACATTTGTGTAATATATTGTAATTAAAATGATATTTGTAATATTAGACAGGCAGTACAGTTATTAAAAATAAAAATAAATATTTTGTTATGAGAATGATTAAAATAAAAAATAAAAAATTAAATTTATAAAATTAATAAATAATAAGAAATTTCTTTTTGTAGATATTTGAAGGTTTTTATCTATTTCGTGCATGTACTTGAATTTACATATGATGATCTTTGTGTTTGTTTGTGGGATTGTCAATATTTTATTATTCATCAAATCTTTTTATTAAAAAAAATATATCAAATTAAATATTTGTTTTATTATACCATATTAAAAATAAATTTAATATTTAAAACATTACACTAAAATCTATTTATATCATATTATAAATTATTACTATCCATAAGTTTACTATTCAAATAACAATCAAAATGTGACGCCCATACAAATATTTCTTCTGTTCTGCCACAATTAAAACTATTTTCATTTTTGTCTTGTCCCGTTATAATTTTTATTTTTTTATTTTTGGTAAAAATTATTAAATCGAAACATATTTAACAAATATAAATCAACTTAATTAACTACATAACATACAACATTATAAATGACGTAGGACCCACTCAAAACTCTTTTATTCTTATCTCTCTTAAAAAAATAAATATTTTTATCTATATTTAAAACTATACATCTTTTATAAAATTGATTTATGTTAATTATAAATAAACAAAAATATTTTTTTTATGTACTTGTATTATAGAAAATTTTATTCTCTATAAAATGATATTTATATTGCATATATTTTTTAATTGTTATATAATTTTTAAATATTTAAACATATATTTTAATTTTTTTAATCATATATATTAAATTTATTTTAAAATTATAAGTATTATTAATTATACAAAAAAAATATATAATATCATAATTAATTATTATTAAATAATTAAATATTACTTCATCCGTCCTAATACAATAGGCTTATTTACCATTTTTGTTTGTCTCAAAACAATAATCTTATTTACATAAATAACCATATCACCATAAAATTACCCCTACTTTTTCATTTTTATTAGACAATTGACACTGCTTTTTACACTAATACACTCACAAGGGCAAAAAAGTCTTTTATTCATATTTTTTACCAACTACCAATATAATACTCCCTCCGTCCCATAACAAAGTATCCATTTTTTCATTTTACTCCATCCCATAACAAATTATTTATTTCATTTTTTAGTAACTTACTATCTACCTAACATTACAAATACCTTTATAACTTACAATATATTACACAAATGCTATTATCTTTATATCACACATATTAATAAGATTATTTTAATCATTTCTATTTTATTCATTATATATCTCAATATAATATTAATATTTCTAAAATTAGGTGCAAAAAATAAATAGATATTTACTTATGGGACGGAGGTCAATATTTCTTAAATGTTGTGTCCAATCCAATTAAAACTATATTTACGAGACAAAATGAGTATTACTTTAAATATTGTATACCTAATAAAAGAGTCGAATTCATGTGGTACGGAATACAAAGACTTAAATAAAAATTAGTGCAAGTAGCGGAAACTAAAACAGAAAGGACAAATTCAAAAGCGCTTGTTTCGTCCCGCATCAAATCTGATGTCGCTGTCGGTTATCAAATCGCACAAGGAAAAAGCGCTAAAAAGGGTTTCACAAAAGTCGCATTTTCGGATACACGTCAACAAATCTTATCCACTTCATTTCTTCCCTCTTTTACTCTTCTTCTCCAAATCCCTAGCCAATTTCTTCACTCACTGCCTGCAATTCATCAATGGCGACCTCGATGTCCTCCTTCCGCGCCCCTATAATCTCATCAGCTGCGCCGCCCACCCCTCGCAACCGCAAAAATCCAACGATTTCTGACAAATCCAGCGCCTGGTGGGCTCCGATCTTCGGCTGGCCATCGGAGCCGGACTACTTCGACAACAATGTTAAGATCGAACCTGGTAAGACGATCTCCGGCCATTCCGAGAAGGAATCTGGACGGATCGCGTCCGATAAGAAGCCGTTCCGCGGATGCCTGACGGCGGAGAAGGCGAAGGAGCTGCGTCGGAAGACGATTGAGACCTACAATTTTCACGATGTTATGTACCACTCCGCGATCGCTTCTAGGCTTGCTTCCGACGTCTCCGAACGCCGAGATCTGTGACGGTTACTTCTCCGGAAGGTAAGTTTTTAAGTTAATAACCGTTGATCAGTAATCTGCCGACTTCGCATGTTTTGTTTGTCCTTTTTACCTTCGTCTGGATCTGTAGATAAACTAATGTTGTGGTTTGATGAATTAAAGTGTTACTCCGCAAAAAAATTGGATGGACTCTATTGATATGCATCTTCATGTTGTGAATCAGAGTATTTGCTTAACCCGTTTCCTACTGCTATCGCCATTAACGATCCTCATTCACTTCTGATTCTTCTATCATTTGTGCTGCAAATTCCAATAAGTTCGCACCTCACTTGTTGCTTGGATCTTCACTTTACTGATATTATATTCAATTTTGCCTGGATCCTCTGTTTATCCACAATTTTTAAAAATCTATCACATCAAATATATTTTCTTTTATAATACATCAAATCAACTAGTAAATTATTTTATTTTCTAAAATTTTAAAATTTCAAAAAACTCTCAAAAAAACTCATACCTAAATTTTTAATTTGAAATATTTATTTACAAGTTGCGATGTTAGTTAAAATATTAATTCCTGTAATGATCTTAAATCGAATAATAACACAAAAAATGTACCCACCCACCCATATTCAACCATGCACAAATAATACACCCACGCATTGCGGCCAACGAAATCTTTATTTGTTCGTTAGTTGGGAAATTAACAAAACGGGCTAAATTACAAAGCCCATTAAGTACTAATGGGTCGATAAATTCAGCCACTTCAAAATAACTACTGGCCCCCCAATTAATGCACACAAGTACAACATAAAATTAGTTGGAGGGAATTGATAGGCGTTAATAGTATTTGTAGGCCCAAGAATATGGGCTGGCTTGTTAAACCCCATACAATTTTATTCGAAAATAAATTATAGAGAATGATGTGAGATGATATTTATTCTATTACTATTATCATAGTGTGTTTGTTTTGTGAAATAACTTGAAAAGATATTTTTTAGAAATTTTGAAGGTTATAAAAATATATATATTTTATTACTATCATTCGGGTGCTCTTTGGATAAACCTCCGGCCGACCAGATTTATAAGATAAATACATTTGTGTGTATTTAATTAAAGGCATCATTGAGAAAATGACAGAATAAATATTTGATAAGAAAAAAAAAACTTGCCCCAACATTAAAACATGGTTAGATTTTGGAGATATTAAGTGACAGAGACTTGCCTTAATTAGACCATACATACTCTATATATATATATATATATATATATATTAAAGTACATTGAATATCAACAAAGAAGTCATCGACTCATCATTTATTTTATATTTGTTTGACCCCTAAAAGTATTACAACGATAATAATAATAATAATAATAATAATAATAATAATAATAATATTGAAAATAATATATGAATAAAAAGTATTTTTTATATAAATACTATAATCATGCCCAAAATGGTTCGTATCAATGTAATTTTTCATATTTTGAAATTATTTATATATATGACAAAATTTGACCTTACCTTCTTATAATATTGGTAAAATCACTATAATACATGCACACAATATTATCTACAACATCTATATCACTATATTGAAAGTTATTTGTCCAAAGATTTTTATTATTATACAATATATACATATATAATATACATTGAATACAAACACTTAAATAATTCATACTATCTTCGTCCGACTCTAAAGATTTCATTTATTTTTTGCGCGTTGATATTTGAATATTAATTATTATATCAAAACATTGTACAAATTAATAAGAAATAGCAAAAATACTTACATTAGTGCCTTATAATACTAATAGAATGACATTTATATAAAAAAAATTATATAAATATAACGATATTTTTAATGTTAAATACAATGACACAAAAGGTAAATGCAACCTTTAGAGGCCAACGGAGGGAGTATAATGAAACTAAAATAAGAAATCAATGTTATAAATTTTGTTTAAATTCAAACCCCTACTACAAATGCATGTTCTACTAAACACCCAATCAATCAACACAAAATCACTACGAGTCACACATCACTACAAAAAAATAGTATATTTATAATGAAATTTCGTCCCTAAAAATCACGTAGCTAACATAATTCCAAATTACGTCTCTAATATCATTAGTAACGGAAAAAGTGAATTTAAAGACGAAAAAATCTCGTTACAAAAATGATATTTTCATGTACTGCATGGTTCGCCTAATGTGACTTTCCCATTGAGCCTGGTTTGCAGGGTATTAAATTTGACCGGAGGTTTACCCAGTGCGCACTTTCGGGTAGCGGCTGCAGGTTCCCACGTCATAAAAAAAAAAACAACTACTACGAGTCGTCATTATATCAATATATGAATTATTAAATAGAACATAGATTCATTATTATTAAAGTCTCTAATTGAAACATAAAAAGACATAAAAACAAGAAAGGTAAAATTTCGACCCAAGATACTATCATTTTGTTCGAGAATCAAACTTTTTTTAAAAAAAAATAAAAAATAAAATCAATATCTTATTCATTATCGCTCGAATAAGAGTTTATGTTTGTATGCTTTTTCTTAAAAGTGATGTGTTAAGAGTTCAAATTTCATATATGAATATATGTCATGTACAAGTGTAAGAACATTGGAACGACAAGATACAAGATATTTGATAATTTCAACGATTTCACTAGAATTATATATATATATATATAATTAATATTTTCTCTGTCCGTTTCTAAATGTCACATTTACTTTTGCGTCATTTTACTTAACATTTAAAATATTTTTATATTTGTATAATTTTTTGCACAAATGTCCTATTAGTATTACGAGACACTAATAGAAGTATTTTTGCAATTTTTTTCTTAATTTGTATTACGTTTGATATAATAATTAATATTCAAATATCAACTTGCAAAAAGTAAACGAAACTATTAGAGCCGGACGGAGGTAGTATTATTATTGAATGAATAATTAGATTAAAGATTAAATGGAGGGAAGGGGACAAAGAAGATTTGGTGGAAATTGATTGGTGTAAGTGTTGTCCGAAGAACACTAACACTAACATTATAGTGTAGTGTTGGGCCAATTTTGAGGATAAGAAAGAGTTGCCACTTTCAACACTATACAGTATACACTCTTTCCACAATTATTTCCTAATCTATCTCCCAACTTGGAAATTCTTGGATCCATCTTTTTCTTTTATTTATTTATTTTTTTAAATAATAAGAATTTAAAATTCTGCTCATATATATATATATTTAGGGTATGTTTGTTTATTATTTTAATTTGAGTATTTTTTTTTTTATGTGATATATGAAGAATCGGACTGATAATACTCTCTCCATTCGATAAATTTAGAATATTTGGATCCAATACATAGATTAAAAAAATATTTGATTGAAAAAGCGATAAAAGCAAAAAAAAAATAAAAATGGCAAAATTGCTCATAACTTCCTTGTGGTTTCGAAACTCAGCGTAAATTCTCCTTCTACTTTAAAAATTGCATGACGCCCCCTTATACTTTAAAAAATATTGCATGAAATCACTTTGTGGTTTCGAAACTCAGCATAAATTCTCATTTTACTTTAAAAAAATTGCATGACGCTCACTTATACTTTTAAAAATATTGCATAAAACCGCATGCCATGCAAAACATATAGATAGGAAGTCATCTTCTTAGAGGAAAAATTCATGGTGGTGGAGTTTCATGCAACGTTTTTTAAAATATAAGGGGGTACCATGCAATTTTTAAAGTACAGGGAGATATAAGCAATTTTACCCAAAAAAATAATAATAATTTGAAGTATTTTTGAAAATGTAGTTAGAAATTAAAATAAAATGGGAGAGAAAATTTAATAAAAGTAGTAACATTCTAAATAAGTGTTGAATGAATGATAATAATTAAACGTTGATTTATTAATTTTGTCAAAATTAGCAAGGAATAAATTTAGCGAACAAACTAAAAAGAAAAATATAAATTTGACGGACGAATGAAGTATAAAAAATAATATTTTATGTTGAATATTAATTTTTTTATATAAAAAATATAATATATACACTACTGATACGGTACTGACGTCTTAGACACCGTACTGATTTTTCTAAAAAATATAAATTAAATTTCTAGATAGCATCAATTTTTAATAGAAATAGCGTTATACTCTATTAAATAAATTTCCGTTCATATTTTCATTTCCGTCCGTCCACTTATTTTGTTACTTTTTTTTTTGAAAAAAATTATAAATTTTAATATTATTTTAAAAATATTATTTTAAACAAATTAATTTATAGTTTTTTTTATTTTAATTATACTAATAAGCTGTCTTAATCTTAATTTATAATTATTTTTATTATACGATAATTATTTTCACTAATATATTTTTAATTATTTACTAATTATACTGCTTATAAATTTTCATGTCTGCAGTAAAACGGACAACATATCCTGAACGGACAGAGTAATAATTAATAATAATAATAATTGGAAATAAGGGCCGGGCTCTAGTAAAATGAAAAGGACGTCTTTCTAGAGCTAGCTATTATCTATATTTTTTTTGCACATATAGGCCCCTTTTTAGTTTGTAAGTATTTAATTTTTTATTATATATATAATAATTATAAATATATATATATTTCTTTCGTTCAATAGACAAGTTTATATGCAATTTTTTATATAAATATTAAAAAATATCAATACTTAAATAGATATAAATGACGTCTAAATATATACTTGCTTATATGTTTATAATACTTGTGTTATCATATATATATATATATGTGTAATATTTTATTTTCACTATAAAATAACACATTTAACACTTATCTATTATTTAAAACATAGCATATAAGTGTAATAATTATTATTAATTTTTTTAAAAAAAAATCAAAATCAAGCATTAAAATAAAATTAAAACACAAACAAACAAATCCAACAACATAACTCATATATGTTTCTTTGAAATTTATTTTTGTAAACTTTACCATTTGGCTTCACATTTTCAAAAAATAAATATTTAATCCACAAAACAATATATAAAAGAGTATTATTTAAATATAAAACTTAAATCACATCCATCAAATCCAAACCCAAACCCAAAGAATATTTCTTCAAGGTCCAATTTTGATCTTACACTATTCATAAAAAAAACTTCTAAAATTGTTAAATTAAACAAACTATTTTTCATTTAATATATATAAATACATAAACAATAATTTTTTCATGCAAAATACCAAATAAAAATTTATTTTAATTCAAAA